CAACAAGTGTTGATGACATTAAAGCTGCAATCGAAGAAAAAGGACATGTGGTAAGAAACCTTACTAATCTTAAAAATAGATTCACTAAGAAACCCATGTCTATTTTCTTTGTAGATTTGGAACCTAACGCTCAAAACAAGGATATATTTCAGATCCAGTTTTTGTTAAATGCTAAGGTTTCATTTGAACCACCTAGAAAGAAAAAAGAAGTTGTTCAATGTAAACGTTGTCAACAGTATGGCCACACCAGGTCCTACTGTCACAACGACTTTCGTTGTGTAAAATGCACACAAAATCATGACACTAAAGTCTGTCCTAAGCCCATATCAGAGCCTCCGACTTGTGTATTGTGCTCCGGAAAACACCCGGCAAATTACAAGGATTGTCCCGTATACAAGGATGCTCAAAATAAGCAATTCCCTCCCCTTCGGCGAAAAACTCCTGAAAAAACTCAGGAACACACAGGTGACCGAAACTCTAGTGTCCCCGGTAAGAGCAGTTTAATAACTGAAGGTATTTCGTTCGCACAAGCTACAAGAAACAGTTATGAGGGCTGTGACTCAAGAAAGCAAGTCGAAGTCACAGAACAAGAAGCAGGTTTGTCATTAATAATCCAAGATTCGTTTGCTCGCTTCGAAAGTATGCTATCGAAGCAAGCAGAACAGATTAATACACTTCTTAATCTGTTAACAACAGTCATTTCTCGTTTAAAATGAATATTGTTCTCAAAATTGCTCTTTGGAACGCTAATGGCTTGGCTCAGCATGGCCAAGAAGTTCAATTGTTTATTAATAATCATAAAATAGATGTTTTACTTATTTCTGAGACTCATTTTACAGATAGAAGCTATTTTAAAATTCCAAATTATACTTTATACTCTACAAACCACCCTGACAATACAGCTCACGGAGGTAGTGCCATATTGGTTAAAAACTGTATAAAACATCATGAAATTCCAGGTTTTAGGGAACAGTACCTACAAGCTTCAAGCATTGTTCTCGAAGACATGCAAGGACCTCTTACTCTTTCTGCAATTTACTGCCCTCCAAGACATGTTATAGCTTATGAACATTTTGACAGATTTTTTACTACTCTAGGGACTAGGTTCATCGCTGGAGGAGACTATAATGCCAAGCATCAAGAGTGGGGTTCACGCTTGGCCACTCCAAGAGGTCGACAGTTGCTGAGGGTAATTAATGACAACACTCTAAATCATATTTCAACAGGTGAACCTACTTATTGGCCGACTGATATGAGGAAAACTCCTGATTTATTGGACTTCTTCATATCAAAAGGTATTAATCAAAACTACACTAATATCCAATCAAGTCTCGACCTATCCTCTGACCATTCACCGATAATATTGCAAATCAGCACGCAAGTCTTTCATCAAAAAGCAACTGAACGGTTATACAATAAGGGCACTAATTGGGACCTTTTTCGTCAAGAAGTAAACAAAAATTTAAACTTAAAAATTCAATTACAAAGCAATCACAATTTAGAAGACGCCATTGGCTTATTTATAACTTGTATTCAAAATTCTGTGAGAACATCAACTCCTGTCCTTCCTTATTTGTCGAAACCTGGATTAAGTTACCCTATTTTTGTTAAAAAGAAGATTGCGGAAAAAAGAAGGTTGAGAAGAATCTGGCAAAATAGCAGGAATCTAGTCGATAAAACAAATTTTAATAGGGCATCTCGAAATTTGAAGCGACTGTTATATGATGTAAAAAATCGCTGGTTTGAGAATTACACCCAATCTCTATCACCTTCCGAAGCTACGGATTATTCCCTCTGGAAAGCTACGAAGCGAATGAAGCGCCCAAAGATTCGAATTTCGCCTATTTTAAAATCTGATGGGAGCTGGGCAAAATGTAACACAGAGAAGTCTGAAGCCTTTGCTCAATACTTTGAGAATGTGTTCAAACCAAATGCGGCAGTAAACAACGAGGAAGAGATACTTGAATATTTGGATGCTCCGCTACAACTTGACTTCCCATTGCAGAAGTTCAAACCATCAGAACTAAAATCAATCATCACCAACAATCTTCATTCTGACAAGGCTCCTGGTTACGACCTCATAACTGGTAAAATACTTAAAGAGCTTCCACGAAAAGGAATAATGTTTTTGACTATTTTATTTAATACAATGTTAAAACTTGAATATGTACCAGATCATTTCAAAAGAGCACAATTGATAGTCATTCCGAAACCTGGGAAGCCTCTTGACCAGGTAAGTTCTTACCGACCCATAAGTCTTTTACCAATAATGTCTAAGTTATTTGAAAAACTTCTTCTGAAAAGGATACAAGAACTTATTGGCGAAGATGTGATTCCTGCACATCAGTTTGGTTTCAGACGGAAACACAGTACCATAGAACAGGTTCACCGAGTTGTTGACGTGATACGTCAATGTATTGAAGATAAAAAGTTTTATTCAGCTGCCTTCTTAGATGTTAGCCAGGCATTCGATAAGGTGTGGCATGTTGGCTTGTTATATAAAGTAAAAAAGTTTTTACCCCATTCAATTTATGGCATTTTAAAATCCTACCTTCAAAACAGGACTTTCCAAATTAAATATCAAGACGTCCTCACTAACCTACGTCCAATCGAATCTGGGATTCCTCAAGGAAGTGTCCTCGGGCCGTTTTTGTATATTCTCTACACAGCAGATCTCCCAGAAAATGAGTTGGTAGAAATTGCTACATTTGCGGATGATACTGCGGTTTTGTCTGTTCATCGTGATCCATTTCAAGCTTCTCTAAATTTACAGCAAAATCTGAACATAATTACTGATTGGTTTAAGACATGGAGGTTCAAAATTAATGAAACTAAATCTGTCCACATTACTTTTACTCTAAATCAAAATTCTTGTCCTCCTGTCACAATAAACAACACCCAACTTCCCGAAGTAACTGAGGTTAAATACTTAGGTATCCATTTAGATAGGAAGTTAACTTGGAAAACACACATTTGGAGAAAACGGCAACAACTAAATTTAAAATCTAATCAGTTAAATTGGCTCGTCGGAAGAAAATCAAAACTTAGTCTAGAAAATAAATTATTGCTATATAAAACTATATTGAAACCAATCTGGACATATGGAGTGCAACTATGGGGCTCAGCGAGTACTTCTAATATAGAAATTCTCCAACGATACCAATCGACGATGCTGAGGAAGATAACAAATGCACCATGGTATGTCAGCAATAGAACACTACATCAAGACCTTAAGATGCCTACAGTTAAGGACGAAATCATGACCATAAGTGAACGATATATTACGAAATTGGAATCTCATGAAAATCATTTAGCTCTTAACTTATTAAACAACATGGATACAATTTACAGACTTAAGAGGCCATCAATTCTGGACCTGCCCTTCAGATTTTTGTAAAGTGTTTTTATTGAAAGATTTGTTGTTGAGAATGCTTAACAGCTATTTTTAATGTTCCAAAGTCAATTTTTCGTATTATATAGTATTTACTTATTGTTCAATCCCTATAATAGAACAGATTGTAAAGTAAACAAATAAAAAAAAAAAAGATTTTATTAACCGATCAGCATGTCATTGCTATACAGGTCAGGTATAATATAAGAAAGACAAAAATAACATTATTAATTACATTAACATGGATAGAGGTCAGCTTAGCCCCTCAGGCACTTATTGTCACTGTTTTAGCGGGTCGGACTGTAAAGGCACTGTCCACCAATGAAACACAAATCAATGAAAAAAAAAAAATGGTTATAATAAAACATCTTGAGGCAATCTGGGTTTTAGTCGGAGTCTCTGGATTTCAGAAGGTTGGCCTGTGTTATAAAATCCAATGCTGCTGGTTAATGGAAGTTTTGAAAACAATTTTGATGTAACTTTCTTGATAAAATCTTCTATAGGTTTTATTCCCAGTTCTAAATGTATCTGACGGGTTCGAAAATACCAGGGACATTTTAGAATTATCCTTAAAACTTTATTTTGAAATGTTTGCAGTTTGCGAATTGAGCTTGATGAAGCAGTTCCCCATACTGGGCAGGCGTATAACAATAGTGGACGTAGAAGTGTTTTGTATAAAAGGGTTCCATTCTTTATAGACATACATGATTTTTTGTTGATTAAAGGAAACAATTTTGATAATCTGCCATAAGCCAAATTTAATTTTTTATTAATATGAAATTTCCAGTTTAACATTCGGTCGAAGTATACACCTAAATATTTTATTGCTTGGTCAGGAGGGTTCCATGCAATCTGTTCACCTAGAATTTCTAAATTTGGAGGATCTAACGGTTTTCGGAGGGTAAAAATCTTCGCTTCACTCTTCATCGGATTTATGGCTATTCTCCATTTTGTGAACCAAACCAAACTGATGAGGAGGTATTAGGGAAGCACTATCTACGTAGGAGTCTAGGCGTTGCTTAATGATTTTTTCAAACAATTTAGACAATGTGGGGAGGAGGCTAATCGGGTGATAACTATTTACTTGCGATGCAGGTTTTCCAGGTTTGTGGATGACAATTATGAGAGAATGTTTCCACATTCGCGTTTCCCGTTATTAAACCCATTTAAAACCTCGCTTAGCCAAATAATACGATCTAATCATAAACAATAACTTGTCCCCTAATTATATAACCAAACAGTAAAGCAGATATCAAGAAATTAACCCTAAAATAATTGAAACAAAGTTTCATCGACACTAGCGCCTTTGTGTCACGTACATGAACTAGACACGAAAAACGTGCTTCAAAATTTACAATGGGATGAGAAGTCTACTTGTGTTGGTTAGTCTATGATAATATGCATGAACGTTATGTGTATTTTCTACTGGAATAAAACATTGATTCTTGTTTCATAATCGATATCATTTTAAATATTTAACAGTAGGTGAATAACTTTTTTAATGTTTAAATAATGCTCGAACTAAATCAATCATTTAATTTATTATACTATCTTTAAAGGTAATACAGTTTTATACATGTAAAAAAGGTTATCCTTTTAGAAATATAAGTACTAACTAGATCAAGGAGGCATTATTTTTCTCTGTCCTCCAGACCACCATATTAACGTGAAAACGAAGAAAATTCAGACTTCGTTGAGAATATTTTCTTTTCATCATAGACTTGTAACCAGGTACTGTAACACTTTATTAAGTATAACAATTAAAACTTATTAATTTTCCTATTGGTTTGTTTTCGAGGTTTGAATTTGTTTTAATTTCAAGTATTTTACAACTAGAGACAACGAAGTTTACTCCTGGGGTAGGCTAGTCATAACATTCTCGCCTTTAAAATTGGTATAACTTAACTGTTAGTTTATGGCTTGGCTTTTTATTAATTGCAATCGAATAGGACTGTAATGACAGAAAGTCAAAATCATTTTTTTAAGTCAAAAGCTTTTCCTGCTTAACTTAATTAAGTTTGATTGGACCTAACTTATTTAACTTGGTCGCGGCCTTTGTGACCTCTAGCCACCTAGGCCCCCCAAAGGCCTGTCCTAAAATGCGCTAAGCATTTAGCCAATAAACCCATCGTCTCATGTGCCACAGAACATTTAATTAGGATTCATGTTTCTGGTTGTCATTAAACTTAGCACAGGCCTAGTTATAAGGCACTTCCTACTTGCCTATTTAACTTACAGTAGGCCTAAATAGTAGCCTGGGTACAGTTTCTTAACTGTGCTACGCTAATATCAATTGAAACTATCTAATTGAAAATATTGAGCGTAGCCCAGTTAAGAAACTACCGTACCCGCCTATTTTTGTACACCAGTATTATGATGCCAAATAACGTCCTGTATTCAAAAATGACTCGTTTTCCCTGGAAAACTCAAATAAACATCGTAAACTAGAAAAAGGACCTAGAGGCCTCGGCCTAAACTTCAAAATCAAAACACACTTTTAACCCTCCGAGTGTCCATAGTTTAGGCCCTAATGTCCGCCTATTTTTGGCGAACAGTTAATTCTACTGTTCTATATACCATTTTGTTTGGAAAATCATGGGCTTCAATATCATACATAAAACCTAAGGAATATTTGTTTCAAAAAAATTTGTTTAGGTAAAAATAAAAATTATTTTGGAAAAATTGAAAAAAAAAATAAGTTTGCGCTCAATGAAATTGTATAAATTATAGGCCTATAAATATTTGAAAATAGCCACTTTGTTCTAAATTTTATGAGGATTACAAATATATAATAATATAAGGAAGTAGATTTGCAAATAAATAAGTTATGGGCAAAAAACAGATTTCAGTACATAGCGTTTAGCTAAGAATGCATAGCCTAACCATAGCTAGGAATCTGGACTGATAATCAATATCACTACCTACTTCTTCAGGATCATCAACCAGCCCTTCAAAATCACTTAAATCTTCTTATAATGCACCACGTATATCACTACTTTTGATTTTTAACACTAAAACAATGATAAACATAATAAGTAAAACACATCAGTCATCGGTCCGAGGTTAACTAACCTGTTTACAAATACGCACGTCAGCTGTCTGCTACAATTACGATCGGCTCGGAGAACATAAAGCGCTTAGAGACAGACCTTTGGAGAAAGCTTAGAATATAATGAAAAGAACGATACCAAACTCGATCCAGTTCAGTCATAGAGCCTTTGCCGTAAACAGTGTTCGTGAGTCGCTGCAGCGACGCATGACACTCGGAGGGTTAAGGTAACTTAGGGGTACGGTTTCTTAACTGGGCTATGCTAAATATCGATTGAAACTATCAAATTGAAAATATTGATTAATAATTGGCATTTTTAAATATATCTAACTTATAAAATTAAACCATCATAACCTAACCTAACCAACCAAGCTTGCTGATGGTGAAAAAATCGCATGAAGGTTTACTAATCGAATCGATAGTTTCAATCAATATTAGCATAGCCCAGTTAAGGAACTGTACTTAGCCTACCTACCCAACTTAGGCCTAAGTTAGTGTTATTTAAACTGTGCGGAATTCTACGCTAAATTTTTTTAAGAACTTAGGCCTACAAGTTTTTTCCATGTGAGCTAACATTTTTTCATATTTTTCGATGATAAGTTAGCGCGTTTAGTACGTTATTTGTAAAGTGCTTAACTTAACTCGAGGTAGCCTACAAGGTTGAGAACCTGAGATATAAGCTATTAACTTATCATATGAATAACAATAACTTACACACAGAGGATACGCGTTGTTTATGGGTCATATTAATTAATTAAAACAAGTGTGTAATTAGTAACACAAGTTTATTAATAAAACCACATTGTAATCACAACAGATACACAGGGTCACATGTTGAGGAGTTGACTTGACGGAAGAGTGTCTGAAGTTGGAATGAAACTGGAGGGTGGAACGGAAGGGGAATGGAGATACATAGAGGAATGGAAACATAGAATATATAATTATACAATACTGTATCAACATCTCCCTTATCAACAAATAACAAAATTTTTAACTTTTACTGTTAAAAGTATGTAAAAGAACTAAACAAACATTTTCAGCCTACTCATATCTAGTTAGGTTACAATGAAGTACTAGTTAGCATCAAATGTAAGTCTCCTAGGATTTCTGATTGTTCTACCTCTTTTAGTCACATAACCCTCCATGTTTTGGATAACATTATTTTCATCATTACCACTGGGAGTGGGAGGAATCAAAGGACTGGGCTGAATTAGACATTTTTGTTGGTTGGGAGTGGGTTTTTGGTTTTTATGATTATTAGTTGGTTTTGACTTAGATTGACAGTAATTTGCAAAATGGTTCTTATGCTTACAAGAAAAACATTCAATACCTTACGCGGGACATTGATTCACTAAATGATTTCTACCACAATTTCTACAACTATTAATGAATTTCTTATGATTAGGCCTAAACTTAGACTGGCTATTTGACTAATGAGCGCTGGGTGTCACTTTAGGTTTGGCGAATTTGCTTGAGGCGCTAACTTGGGCAATTTGGGCTCCTTCTATTTCTTTAATTTGAATTGACGACAGTTCAGCGGCCAGCATATGGCAGCAGCTTTGTTTAGGGTGAGGTCCGATTCCCGTAAAAGTCTTTCCTTCATATGCTGATTTTCGAGGCCACATATCATTAGGCTACATCACGCACTAGGTCTTCGCGAAGTTCTTTGAATTCACAGTTTAAGCTTTTATTAACCAAATCTGTGAAGAACGAGTCAAAACTTTCACCGGGATTTTGCTTTCTAGTGAGGAATTTGTGTCTTTCTACAGTCAAGTTCTTCTTTGGGGAAAAGTAGGCCTGGAACTTATCTACCACAGTGTTGTAGTTGGTTAATGAATTAGAGTCTAGATTAAAGGAATTCAAAATTTCGAAACACTTTGCACCTAAATTATGCAAAAGGATTGCAATTTTCCGTTCATCTTCCTCTTTATCAAGGTTTGAGGCAGTTAGGAATATCTTGAAACGTTGATACCAAAACGTCCAATTCTGGGCTAGGTTTCCTTCTAAACTTATGGGGCCTATATTTGAATCGATACTGGCATTTGTATTTGGGCTAGATGATGAGGAAGCCATTTTACTACGGTAATTTGACAATTCTTACTGAAATTCATTCTTCAATGAAGATTATCCACACTGAGTAATAGGTTATGCTAGGTACTTACGGCAATTCTCGCGTAACCTAACCTAAAACTAATCCACTTTAATCTGCTGACTAGCACTGAATTTACTGTTCACACAAGTGAAAACTGACAACATAACCTGACACCATGTTTATGGGTCATATTAATTAATTAAAACAAGTGTGTAATTAGTAACACAAGTTTATTAATAAAACCACATTGTAATCACAACAGATACACAGGGTCACATGTTGAGGAGTTGACTTGACGGAAGAGTGTCTGAAGTTGGAATGAAACTGGAGGGTGGAACGGAAGGGGAATGGAGATACGTAGAGGAATGGAAACATAGAATATATAATTATACAATACTGTATCAACACGCGTCCGGTAATCGGTTTGAACGTAGGCTAGTGTAGTAATTTTTTGTTTAGGCCCATAATCCTTGGTGTTTTACAGTACCCATTTTTTCCATAATGGTTCTTTTAATATTTATTGCATGGAAAAATAACTAATAGGCCTAAGTTACATAAACTGATTCAGCATAGAATTCCTCACAATTATTTTAAATGCCTTAAAAGTAACTTAAATGTTTTGATTAAAATAATTATGTTGTTTTTCCGACTTTCTGTGTTTTACTTGACTTTTCCATGGAAAACAACAGTCATTTTTTAAATTCAGGAGGTTATTTAGCATAATAATAAATAGGCGTAAACTTAGTGTGGAAAATACAATTTTAACGTGACGTCTGTGATCGATAGGCCTATAATCAACTTGAAAACTTACTTTAAATTAACTTACTTAAGGTACTTATGCTCTTGAGGTAATCAAGAAGCAAGAATATTTATTGTCACAACTTAGATCTAAAACATCAAATATTCAATAATGTCATGAGATCTAAAACATCAATTATTCAATAATGTCATGTGAAATGCATATACAAATATACAAACATAGGCCTAGTTATATAATAAAAAATAGACAAATTGTTTAATACATTATCAAAATTTTAACACTAGACCTCAAAATTTTTTTGCATTGAATAACATGAGTGATACTGAAATTTCCCACTATCCCACTAGAATACTGATACTGAAAATCCACTTCTAGATACTGAAAATCCCACTAGAATCGCCTCTGCAACCTTTATTAAGGCCTTTTAGTCTTCATAACATAGCTCAACCCTCTGAGTGTTAAGCGTCGCGTAATCGACGCACAACACACTCGCCGTGGTGTCATGCGTCGCTTTTGCGACCCACAAACATTGTTTACAGCGAAGGCTCTGGGACTGACTGAATCAGATTGAACTGGATCGAGATTGGTATCGTTGTTTTTGGCATATTCTGAGCTTTCTCCTGATGTCTGTTTCTAGACGCTATTCATTTTAGTTCCGAAAATATTGTAGCAGACAGCTGACATCTATTTCTAAACAACTTGGTTAACCTCGCACCGATGACTGGTGTGTTTTTAATTACGTTTATCATTGTTTTAGGGTAAAAAATTACAAGTAGTGATATACGTCGTGCATTATAAGAAGATTTAAGTGATTTTGAAGGGCTGGTTGATGATCCTGAAGAAGTAGGTAGTGATATTGATGTAAATTATCAGCCAGATTCCTAGCTATGGTTAGGCTATGGTTAGCTAAACGCTATGTACCAAAATCTTTTTTTTGCCCATAACTTATTTATTTGCAAACTTACTTCCTTTTATTATTTTATTTTTGGAATCCTCATAAAATTCTGAACAAAGTGGCTATTTTAAAATATTTGTAGACCTATAAATTATAACAATTTATTGAGCGCAAACATAAATTTTTTTCATTTATTTTATAATTTTTTAGAAATGTTAACCCCACAAAAATTGTTGAACATTTTTTTTAAATGTTTTGTAACGTTGTGTAAAACAGTACTTTAGTTAGGTACATTGTTTTTAAGTTTCTAAGATACATTTTACATGGGTTTTTTTAAAACCCTGCGATTGCGCAATAAATGGGCGACCATTAAGACCAAAACTATGGACACTTGGAGGGTTAAGTTTATATCTTTACTTAGGTACGACTTTTTCAACTTCATAGTTTACAGGTGATAAGGTCCTAAGCAAAAACTGATGATCATATCAAAACAAATTTACTTAAGGTTAACTTAATTTTATGTGGATTTTTGTCCTGTATGAGTAGGACTAGTCCCATAGTAACTTAGTATTTTATCATGTTTGTAATGTTTAAGTCTCATCATAGCTATATTTATGGTCTTTACGTAATCACCTTGACTGGAGTTTAACATATGCCCTCGCCACTCAGTCTATGTCCATAATAAGCAAGTGAATCGTGTTGGCATAGACACTTTAAATTTCTAGATATGTTACATCTGCTGAATTAGAATACGTACGTTTAAAGTTGAATCTATTTTTGATAGGTATTTAAAAGGAAAATCCAATTTTATTGTTTATATTTCTTGATTATCACATTGAAATTGAAGTTACCGGTATTGTGGATTCTAGAGTCAGAAAGGGGTACAATTCGGCAGAGAACCTACGGTATATTATCAGATGAAATAGGCTATTAAGTTAGTTTGATATATTCAATTCAATTCAAAACTTCTTTATTCTGTCACATGTAAATTGTTTACAAAGAATAGAGTCATACCTAACCTAAATTATACATATTATTAATATCTAAAAATACATCCCACAGTTCTTAGGATAATATATACAACATATTACACACATCATTCCAAGAAATCGTATGTAATATATCGTAATATATGGCTAAAGCTACCTATTTTGAATCCAGATATTTTTTTCCTGCCGTTTACTACCTATTAGTTGTATAGATATTGAATAGGAACATTTTAAGCTAGGCCTACCTATAACTTACTTAGGATTTTCAAAAACACTTTTTCACACTGTGCTGTGGTAGGCCTAAATAACTTAGGTTTCTGTAAGTTTATGTAGTTCAGTAGGATTGGTTTTAGTTTGTGAACATAACTTAACTTACAAGGTAGGCCTAACAAGATTCCATAAATTAGGCTACATTTACAAAGACGTCAATTTGTATATTTCTCCTCTTTTTCACAATGTAGGTACACTTACAAATGCACTTAAACTGCATTTCACTACATTTTTCTAACTTACATAGTGTATTGCAAGTAGGTAAATAAATTGCTGTTTTTAGTTCCTCCTGTTGTTGAATTATAACAAGATAGGCTAATCTGTTGAAGTTTGCTAGCTAGTTTTATTAGTAGCTTAAAAAGGTTTTTACTTATGTAGCCTTTTCCTCGACTAAAAATAGTAAATATTGCATATCATCATCAAATTAAACTACAAATTAATTAAATACCATCCATACTTATAGATAACTGATCTTATTATGTGTTTGGGCAAATTTATTAAGAGATCATAATGATATTATAGCCCATTTGAACTCTTGTTTGGAACTATGCTATAATTACCTCTTCTATTTATTATAGTGTTTGTTGTAACAAATTGTTAGCTTAAATTTACATGTTATGATTGTTTTAAATTTATTAGGCTAATTATGTCTAGGATAGGCTACTAGCCCCTATTAAGACCCTAGAACTGCTGATCGGTAACTTTATTGATTGACTTATATTAAACATGAATGTAAAATTTAGGATATTGGCTATCCTGCTGACTCGTCTGTAATATCTTTTGTCAGGTTGTTGTGATTGAATTATTGTCTGTCTGTCTGCTGACTTGAAAATGCAAAGTTAGCGAATCAGTCATTTTATTAACAATCTTAAGTGTTTATGGATAATTTACAAAAACATTAGGCTACTAATTCCAAAAATTAAATAATTAAGTCCAGACTTAAAAATGTCCATTATGAAATTTATTTATCATTTACAGTATATTGTATTTTTATGTGACAAATAAAAAACGAAATATAGTACAACTGTTTTTGGTAGGCTTAAAACCTATTTAATAAAGACAGATCACTAAGAATAACTGTGGTTTGGTATATTACTATACAAATAACATAGGATACCAACACTCTCTACCTTCCTAAAACAAGTTATTATGTAGGCTACAATATAGTATGCCTAACTTATAAAATACAGTAATATTTTTATTCAAAATTCGAATTTCCAATATATGAAATTAAATGAAAAATGTCTTTATTTAAGTGGCGAAGTTAGGACTAGCAAGTCCTCTCTAGCACTCAACTACTAAAACTTAAATAAAACTATCCCACTTTGGAAATTAAATTTTCTAATCCTAAAAAGTCCATTCAAACAAGCCGCCAACAACCTGCCACACCAGCGCCAGACACTCATTCATGCCTGCCGCTCAAAATCATAGATTTTATCTCTGCCCCAAACCTTGCACGGTTCTCTATGGATTTTATATTGTCAGGAAGAAAATTCCACAATCAAATTGCAGGTTCTAAGAAAGATTTATTAAAAACTGTTGACCGGTGAATTGGTGTCTAGATAAGAGAAGAGAGCCTCTACGAGTAGAACGGTTGCTAATGTCATAAATAAAATGGAAGTTATCTGATAAATACTTAGGAATTTTACTATTGACAATGGAGTGTAGAAGACGGAGGGTGTGCAATTCCCGAAGTTCATTTAGCCTCATTAATGAAAGCAGGTTGAAATAGGGAGTGACATGGTCTTATCGTCTAAGGCCAATAATGAATCTGATACAGGAATTCTGCGCTCGCTGAAGTCTGTTAGAAACTTCATTAGTCATGTCATTGATCACCACATCACAGTAGCTGAAATGAGTCAAGATGAGAGTTTTTACTAACATGATTTTCAAGTTCAGTGGAAGGTATTCTGCAAAATGTTTTATGCCAATATATTTAGGGAATAAGCTACAGTATTTCTTATAGTTAAGACTAGACCCATGACCGTGTGTCCGTGAACGCGATGAGTAATTTTTGTCTGATTTTAATCAAATTTGGCTTGAAGGTGTATGGCAGGATAGATTGGAACTTTGAGTTTATGATCAAGCAAGATCACAAGGGGGTCATGGTTTAGACCTTTTAGGTTTTAAAGTTAAATTGAAAATCTTTTCCAATAATTGGTTTTTTCTAATTTTTATCCTTTCAAAAATGCTTAATTTTCAATCCAACCATCGTATAGGCCTACAGCTTATAAAACAAATAACTTTGTAGGCCTATATATTGAAACATTGTTGTGTACCTACTCGTAGCCTACAATTAAAGTTTAGCCTACGGAGAAAATGCAAAAAAAAACTGTACATTTTTAAAATTCCCTTGTTATTTTTATGGAGAAAAATAAAACTGTTGTAGTTTGGTTGTTTATGGAAATATCTTAATCAAATTTGGGGTAGGCCTATTTATTTATTTTATTGTAGGCCTTATTGACATTTATCAAAAACACTTTTCCCCTTCCCAGTTGCAGCAAGACTCTTTAAATCTAGGCCTAATGTTATTTAAATGGGTAATAAATATATCATTTTCCTGTGACGGGGTATTTAAAAAGACTATGAAAACTGCAGCCTTCAACATGTGCTGGCATTTTTTAGTGAATCTACCCAGCAGTTACTGCTGAGTTCCAGGCTGAGCCTAAATGTAGCCTATCCTAGACACAACAAATATATATTTACCTAGCCTACATATGGTTATATATAGTTGTGTAGGCCTAACATTTGATTTTTTTTGTATAAAAACCTGAAAATCTTAAAAATTGAGATGGGAATAAAAATCATAACTAGATTGCCTTGTGTGAGACTTATGGGAGGCAGTGCTGTTTTTTTAGGTGAGGTGAGGATGGTGTATCACAGGTCCACAGAGAGAAGCTCCGGCTCGAGTCACAGACCGGCAAATGTGTTTGCCAACGATGGCAGCTTCATGGAGATGTTCAAAAAGATGCAAGAACAGCAAAGCAGTCAGTCTTCAAGTTCCTCTGCCGACTCGGACGGTAACAAACAAAAGGAATCTTCCTCCTCCACATCTCTAAAAGTGAAAGAAGGTACTTCTGTAAGTGATAGCAAAGACACTTCCTCTTCTAGTGAAGGCAAAACAGCCCAGCCAGCAAGCAAGCCGTTATTTGTGGGGAAAAGACGGGGTGGGCGGTTTTTAGCAACAGGCAAAGTAAAAAAACTCAAAGTGGAAGGGACAGAGGAAGAAGAAGCTCCACCCAAAGACGCTTGGTCACTTTATTTAGCGGAAGTGAAAAAATACAAACAGACTACGTGTGAGGAAGAAGGGAAAACGAGGCCTCTTGTAAAATGAGTTTTATCATTATAATCTGTTATCTTGGACTCTTGAAAGACAATTTTTTCTTGTTTCGCCTTACAAAGGGAGAATGTAGTACATTCTTCAGGTTTGACATCCCTCTTTACGTAGCGTGAAAAGAAATTTAATATTTCATTGTGGAATAGTGATTACAGATTTATTGTAGGTAGTACTTCTGTTTTAAACCTGTATTTTTGTAAGGAAGTATTATCAAAGATATTGCTTATTCCATTTTAATCATTTAATTCCATGTAAATATTTAGGGAACTTGCCAGTAAGTCGTCATAAGACTATTATTTTGATTTAATAGTAGTTTTGGTCATGATATTTTGTTGTTTATTTTAATGCGATGGGCTAGGGCTAGTTCATATCAAACCTTTTCATAACATCACCAGGTGTGAGAGCTGTGTTTTTACTATAACGAATCCAAATTATGTTTTTATGTTCTCCCCCCCTATATCGAGAAAGTAATGTTTTTGACAAAATTTTTGAGTTTGAGTTTTGAGTGGATATATCCATTTTGGAATGAGAGTGGATATATCCCCCTGAACCCAAGAAAGTGGTTTTTGAAGTTACAGAGCTACAGACCTTGCCTGTTGTCCGATATTGATGAAATTTGGTATGTTGTAGTCATTTAAATTATGAACAAAATGGTACAGATTCCATTTCTGTAAAGTCACGGTTTAAAAGTTATTTGATTTTTTCTCCATTAAAAATAGGCTTACCAAATAATCGGATTAAAAAAAAAACCGGTTTTGATTCAAGTTGGTATGTTATGGTCATTTAAATTCTAAACAAAAAGTAGAAATAACATTTCCGTTAAAATTACAGTTTAAAAGTTATTTTAATTTATGTTATTTTCCCATAAAAACTACATAAAATAATACAAAATCTGATTTTAGAAAAAAAAACCGGTTTTTATTACAATTATAATGTGTTATGGTTCTTATAATTAATCTGGCATCGTGTTGGATTAAGCATCTGTAGGCCACATGAATTCCCTTGCAATACAACTTCTAGATCCAAAGCTCCAGCTAATCTCCTCTAAATTTCATTATTGAGGAGCTTTTTGAAATATTGTGTTTATCTAATTTGCTTTATTTATTTGTGAATGTTTTTTATTTTGCTGAAAGGTACAAATTGTAGAGGGTTGGGATTTTCCTGTGAACAACCCTGATGCTTGCACTTGTTTCTATACTCAGTTGAGGTAAGACTTGAGCTATCTTATAATATTACATCGTTTACCTGAAAGTTAATGATGCTTTGCTGATAAAAAAAAACTTATACATTTCCCCATTCCCCCATTCCATTGTATAAATTGGTTGTTTCCCCATTCCATTGTATAAATTGGTTGGAAGTGCAGGCCTGTAGTATAGGCTGATAATTGACCTGTCTTATACCAATACAATGCAAACACCTAACAAAATGAGATCTTATAAAAGGACACAGAATAATGTGTTTCAGCAAATATTTAGACTCTTCACAATGATTTTTTTGTCTTTTTGTTTAAAAATGTTCTTTGTGCTTTGGTGGAACAATTTAATTTTGTTATTAGAGCTTGGTACTATTTGCTACTCTAGTGTATTCATAGACGAGGAAATACCCAAAAAACACCTTGCTGCAGATTTTGTAATACAGTTTTCATTAGGGCTATGTTAAAACTATCTGTGTTCTACTGTACATTTGTTGCCGAATTAGTGAAAACGGTTGGTTTTCACCAATTTGGCAACCAATGTACAGTAGAACACTGCTTAACTAGACTTCACCTAACTGAATTACATGAACACTCAGAAACAAAAATAAAAATATCAATGTAATAGTTGCAGACCTTGAAGACTGCTGTAGTGGTTATCCATGCATTCCACTATGTCCAATGATATAGGTCAGTGTCACAACGTTCAAAATAAAATTTTTGAGCTGTCTCACCACGTCCAATATAAAATATTTGACTGTTACACGACGTACAAATCTCATTTCCAAAAGTATAGTAACATCAATAAACATAGTCTTTCTACAAGTTCTGGACGTGATGAGATTGGTTGTTGTGAAACAGCACACTTTACACTCTTAATAGATAAGCAGTTGCACCACCTCCAAAGCCGCTGCCAGTTGCATGACGTGCAATAGCTCAGCGGTGTCCCACAACTTCCAGAGTACCTGCACACTGTGAAAACTGTTTTACTGACTGTAGTGCATACTCACCTTACCTAACTCTACCTAACCTAGCTCCGTATGAAGAAGCTCAGGGTCGTGGGTCACGCTGAGCTATTGCACGTTATGCAACTGACAGTGGATTTGGACGTGGTGCTACTGCTAAGTTTTAAAGAGTATGAAGTCATGGGATTGATGTACAAAGCTTTTTTTGGACATGCGGAGATTTGGACTTCGTGCAACAGTCGAATAGTTTATATTAGACATCTTGAGACGGCTCAAAAATAGGCCTAATATTTTGGACATCGTGCAATGCTTCCGTGGTTATTAACCTTGTTCTTAAAAGTTTAGATTTGCCATCCTGACCTGCAATTAGTATCAATCTTCAAAGGATAGATTAAAATACAATAAATAATTCATTCTCGCTAGATCTGGTTCTAGTTTGCCCAAGTTACAAAGAAATAAAAGTTAAATGCATTTGTAGAATTGTGTCATCTTGTAGTATACTTTAGAGCACGTCTAGAGTAAGTAAATATTTTAATATAATAACATTAGTAAAAAGCTGAATTAGTTTTAAAGGAATTGAGAAATGTGTGTTAACTATGCCCCTGTCACAATAAAAAAAAAGTGTGACAGAGCAGTCCATAAATTAAATCCAGACTTCATATTGTTTTGCTTCGTCTGGCACACGCCTACCTTATAAAGACTACTTTTAAAATACTTTCTGTCAAAATTATACTTAAATAGTAGTTTACGCAACGATTGCGTAAAGATAGTGTTAAAGACACGAGTAGAAAATTTAAAGCACTCCTTAAAAACTTCTAGTAGTGTCGTTAACACTATTTACACGAGTTGCGTACACTAATTTAGGCTACCTATGACAGTCTTTTAATTACTAAAAATCACTACTCATAACATCCAAGAGAGGTTATGTTATCGTTTATAACCTCCTCATTGCCACTTACAGTGATACAACGAAACATTGTACCAAACACTAATTGTACCACTCAACAATTAAATTGGCCTGAACAGCTGATTAGTTGAAGATCGAATCATTACAAATTTACTTCTTCTTCTCTCTCAATCCTTGAACCTCATTGGTCCATTACCCATTTTGTTATAAGTAAAACTATGCTATTATGAAAGTAAACAATGCTGTATGTGAAACTTTTCAATTCTAAGAACTGAACTGAAAGGCTACTTTAAAAAATGGCCGTAGGTAAATAATACTAACCATTGCGCATCCTGAAAGTTAACTAGAAAGGTTGAGCCTTCTGCATTATTCTGGTTAAGCGGGGTTTTAACTGTAGGCATACTGTATTAATAAATAGTAGCACTTACCACTGCATTAATACAGTTCTCACATGGCATTACTTTCATAAATGTGTCCATAAATGAGTTATTACTCATGTGTTGCATGATAAAACAAAAAAAAAAATACCCTTGCCGCAGCAAACCTGTAGACCAAGTGAATTTCCATTCACCTGACTGGATTTCTGAAATATTCACTTTAAATTATCAAATTTATTTCCTATTAAAATAACATTAATTGTAATGATTACTTAGGTTTGCTGCTACAGGGAAGGTAATGAGATGTTTTTTAAATAGAAGTGTTGAAAGCTTAGTATGAAATCTTGCAAGGTTTTTATGATTCTTAATGTTACTTTTAAATACATATTAATTATCTATAAAGTTATGTAGTACTGACTGTACTATTGGAAAATTAGGTTTAAGTATTTAAATTTAAGTGAAAAGAGATATAGCCGTGATAGTATTCTGGTTAAAAACATTATGTACGTGGCTTCACAGTGAGCATGCCAAAGCTCCTGGTGGATGGACAGTTAATATTGTAAATGAAGAAGTTTTCCTTTAGTTTAACTTGAGTAGTCAGATATGTTTAGTTAAATTTGGTGATTATATAAATATATGCATTTAATAAAAATACATTTAATTTGCAAACTATTATCCGTAAAGTTTTTTTATTATTTTGTGTCTTATATTCTAAACATATTGGATGTTAAATTGTATCAATCAATATGATGGTACCTGGTTTTAGCCCTTATTGTTTTGCAATGTGAAAAATGGAATATAATTAAGCCTTAGGTCTTATATGTAATTGAAAAAAAAAAAACTATTTCCTCATTGTAAATGTTCCAAACAAGAGTTACAGTATACTTGGGTGTAATAATGTTCTTTTAATACAGTTTTTTTAACAAGTAGTTTGGTTGTTAGTATTTATTTTATGTTGAAGTAAATATATTCTAATGAATAAGCTGTATATTTATTATCAAACCCTTATGCTCAAAGAACAACAGAATAAAAATACAAAAAAGGCATGCCAACCTTCTCCAAAATTTTCCCTATACCAAGTAGGGCTCTTAATCCTATTATTTACCTTTAGCTTATTAAATACCATGAAATCCCAGGGTTAGTGCCTTGTAATCCTGGGATTATTGTTTTTTATCGGACGTACAGTTTTTATTGAATATTTGTTTTCTTGAGGAGTTTAGCTTGACATTGAAAGTTAATAACGCTTCTGATATGACAAACACAACACAACAATCGGTGATTGAATTCTTTATACTAATCTATCTATATATTAATGGGCAAGCATGTTTCTTTAAAACCTTTTTTCTCAGCTCGTGTGCATCGTAGGGAAAATCTACGCATACCGTTAGAAAGCTATTTTCCTGTAGGTGTGCAGAATCCCTTTATAAATTAAAATAGGCTCAAAGATAAGTACAACAAATTAGTTTTAAAATTTGAAAAAATTAACATGGATCTTATGGGTTGCCATGTTGGTGACGAAATAACAACGAAATATAAACAGAAAATGAAAACAAATGGAAGAAACTCCAATCACATGTTTTATTTACAGTGTGGGGTGAAAATAGAGAAGTCTGTACATTATATATTTTTGGTCGAATTTCGACCACTGGACGACCTCTCGTGCAAGTTTAATAGGTACTTTGGTATTATCTGGAGGCCACCTAATGCAGCGCGCTTCGGCGGTTATGTTAAGTTGGGTTATCATCAATGGAAAGAAAATACTTTAATTGACTTACTATCCATATTTGACATGATTACAATTAGCGGCCTTTGAGTTTTGCCTTCCAGAAGGTAGCGATGTCGGCGAGAATTGAATGCGTCGCTACCGCAAGCTGCCACACCAGTATACAGGTGGTGAAAGGTGATGCGCACACTCCGGTCAACAACTTTACTGACCCACTTGGAGGGGATTTGGCGAGCGAAAGTATGACTCATCCCTGTATTGTTTGATTCATAATGAAACCAGGAAAATCCTACAAACATATTTATGATAACCGAACCTAACATAACCGCCACAGCGCGCTGTATAAGGGTGGCCTCCCGATAATACCAAAGTACCGTTTAATGTTTACATACACCAATTGCATTATTAAGAGGTTTAGGCTATATTTAGGGCTCTGAATCCCGGGCCTTCAATCCAATCTCCAGATTTCGGGATTCGTCTTAGCCGATAAACAACGAGTCCAAAAGTAAAGCCTAAAGTAAATCCAAATCGTCTAAAAACTGAAACATATATTTACATTCACTCTCTTATTAAGTTTATGAAAATTACATTTTCCAATCAAAATAGATCATTACTTATACCATTTCATATTTATCGTCCTAAAAATAAAGAGCATATGTGTTTAAAATGTTATTGGACATATTTTTATTTATTATCCGTGAGTCAAAGTACTCAAATTCACAAAAAATAAATATAAACATATCTTTTGGAATCCCGTTAATCCCGGGATTAGAAGTCACCAATCCCGGGATTTCTAGGTATCAAAATTCGGCCGGGATTCGGGATCCCTGGATTGAGACCCCTAGTTATATAACATTTTATCTTTCTTTGTAATTCATTCTAGAATAGTGTACTGATAATTATTTTACAGTCTAAAGCCTACTTCGTATACGCATGACTAGATATTATTCGTCCCTTAATCTTAAATTGTTCTATTTCTGTAACGATAAAATCTTTACGGCTGCGCCCAAGCAAGTTTAGAGTGAAAGTGACATTTACATGAGAGTGTTAGCTTTTGTTCGTATTTCAATTTGTATTTGTAAGTTCCATGTAGTACTATTTTTAACTTGAATGATTTTGATATCATAAGTGTGCTATGTAAAATTTGTTATGGGTGGTTAAAAATATCAAGGGGCTCAACAAATGGCACAATTATTTTAAATTGTTAAAAAGCAAACATCCTAAAATTATAGAACTCCAGGATTGATTCTGGAATTGGCTTTGGAGAAATCCTGGCGTATAAAATCTCGGAATTGAGACCCCTCTTGCCAAGTCAACATGCAGCATTCTCTAGGAGACACTTTATTAGCATGATAAAAAACATTCTCAATATATGACGAGACATGTACAATAACATTTGTAGCCTCGTCTCTCACAACGCGCGGCTTAGCCATTCTTGTTGACCCTGATCTGTAAACGGATGTCGAGACTCGAGATGTCCGTTGGGGATTCACTAGCTTCACTGTTATCACAGCATGTGGCCGCCTGTTTATTTGGAAAGCCACTGAAGGGCTTGAAGGGAAAAGCTGAGCCAATGAGAGACTGTGTTCTACTGCAACCCAGGGATTTGAGCTGAAGCTTTGTAGTTTATTATGTGAGATGAACATGATGAGTTAGCGGCTTGTGTTGTGGCCAATATAGAGAATTTTGATAAGAAAACTAGTGAGACTGTTGATTCTAAATTGTAGGTTCCTGTTCAATAAGTAAATAACCTTTATCACAGCTTCTTTGTTCCATCCTTTTTAACACTTTAAAACCACTTCATTCAATAGTACCAAACAAGCTCCAAGACTTTACTGGCTGTGAAAACAAGTCTTGACAATCTACAGACATTGTTGAAGTTACCAACTTCAGGTGGGAACATGCCACCTCGAGATAGCTGTCAAATCACAGATGAGCTGTTTTAACGTTTTACTTGACAAGGGGCAGATCAAGGCCATCGACATTAAGTATGTTAACAGCTATTTAAAGTTTACATACAACAAAGTTATTTGTAATTGTATTGAATCGCATGTATTTGTACATATAGGAAAAATATCAATTAATTAATGAATTGTGGAAATGTAGTATTGATTGGGAACTAAAGCAATGTTTGGGTTTTAACAATTAGGGATTAACCTATAGGATCACTACAACTCATCGTTAAGCAAACTCTAGTGATAAGCTCAGTAGTTCCCCAAGTCGCTCTGAAGTACTGTTGCTTCCAGCATGCTGAATAGTACTATGTAGTGTGGGCCAGCCTACTTGGTGGTGGATGGCATTTTTCAAAAATGAAGGTACAAACTCACAGGTTAAAGGATACAAAATACTAATGAAAAATTTTGTTTCTTAAGTATTTTTAATGAACTTAAATTTTAAGCATTTGAAATGTTATTACAAAGTGGCAATTTTAGAGTAGAATCCATCATATCTGACCTTGACATGCCCATGGTCAGAATGGTGAAAAGGTCAGATATGGGGAGGACAGAAAAAAATCTTTTTACACGTAAGAAAACACTGATTTAGGGAGGTGTATTCCCACTTTAGAGAGGGATTGTCCGCGCCTTATTTTGTAAATGCAAATGCTAGGCTAACATTGGTGGAAATTGGAGGTGAAATTGGTTCCATACTGAAAGGCAGCAATGCCTCTGACGGAGACAGTTTAATTTTTGGAATTAATACTTTATCCCTTTTGCTTGTCAATATTACACACCATTCGTGCTACCATTGTATCATGGCCATGTTTTGATGTAAACAGATTTGCACTTGGAAAAGTTCAGATGATTGACAACAGAATTCAGCACAAACTCTGGAATTTTAAAAGCCTACAGGACAAAGGGCTCTCACGGCATATCATCCAATCCCGCAAAAGGCACATCTAGAGGATAAGAGCTTTAAATTTATTGATACCCAATATGCATATAAATTTTTAGTGGTTGATTTGCTGAATACAAAAATCCAAAAATTCTTTTAATAATATAGATGTTAGGATATTTAGGTTGTTATTCAGTATCATTTTAGTTGAGGATTTGGATAAGTTTCATAGTTACCTGTATCTGCTCACCCCCCCCCCCAACCTAAGAACCAAAGCCCCTCTTAAGAATTTGAAAATTTGAATTGTCTGTGGATGGAGTTGGTGCATGCTGGATGACAGCACTGTTTAGTATAATGATTGTTAATATTGCTTCATAGTCAGGCTTGCCGAGCATCTTAATGGTTGTTAATGAAATCAAGTGCTAAGTGCTATACTCCATTTCATATTTACCAGAGAGCCTATAATCCATGTATTTCAGTTGACAGTTTCAATGATACAAGCTGTCTTAATAAATAACATTAGCCTCCTAGAGGATTTTACTTGTTACTACCCTTAGTTAAATGTACTAAAGTCAATATCTAAATCATTAAGACAAAATATTAATGTATTTTAATTAAAACATAAAAAGTAAGGAAATAATTTTAATTTTTTAGCACCTTTGTAAGGGTTGTTTCAAAGACGGTTGACACAAGCCACTTGACAACGTTGTTTCCTCCAGTATTGTTGACAGCATGACTGCTAACATATACGGTGAACGTAAAATTAAGGATAGGTAAGCAATGTACTATCAGTTCATTCCTATCAATATTGCAGAATTTTTTTAACTCCAAAGAGTGGTTAGCCGGTAAGTGTTTTGGCAACTTTGGCATGTTGGTCATCTTGCTCTCTTATTACTTGTTAATCCTGAGCTTCCTTTTGTATTTCAACCAGTTGTAAACAAAATCTTGGGGTATTCACACACATAATTTTAAAATGTTTAGCGTGTTATTAATAATTTTAGAATTTGAAGAACAGTAATATTTGTTTACTCTTCCTCGGAATGATTTAATTAACTTAATTAAGTCTTTTAAACTTTGCCTGTTTCAGTTGAGCTATGCGCACTGCTATCATGGCCTCCGCAGAACCTAAGTTGGAGACTGCACCCTTTGACCCCCGTTTCCCCAACACCAACCAGACAAAGTAAGTAGTTTTGTGGCTTCAATTAGTTAACTGCAGTAAACTGATCAGTTGAACATCATACTCTAAAAAGAATGTGTAGTGTTCATAAACAATGAATGGACAGCGAAGCTAGTTCTAGCTGTTTGATACAAGTGACACATAACATTATTACATAATTAAAGGTGTTATGAGATTAACAAATCGTGTATGTTGTTTGTTCCAAGAGGTTTTCATCGAAAAATATTCAAGTATAAAAGACGTCGTGATAGAGAGCGATGAGTTCAGGTACAACCGTACCCACCTCGGCTACCTTAGGACGTAAGGTATGGAGGTTCCACTGTTTCTAACATCCGTTCAGTTGACAATTTCCTGAACTTGGGCCCTTTAAATGAAATTAATTTAATGGTGGCTTCTGTACACCCGTGAATTTGCAGGTAGAACCTCTTGTAACACATTAAAGACTAAGTAGAAAATAATTTATGTGGAGAGAATAAATACTTGTAAGATTTAAAACAAAAAACGTGGGCACATGCAATAGATAATATAGTTCAATTGGTGAAGATAGTATTTGTAAATTAGCTATTGCATACGCCCATGTTTTTTGTTTTAAATCTTACAAGCATTTATTCTCTCCCCATATTTATAAATTATTTTCAACTTTTTAATCTGTTAAAAAATGTGATATTTTAAAAAGTTATTTTTATTTATAAATTATTTTCCCTTCAAAATTCTACTAAGAGCAGCCTATATTTCATCTATCCATGTAAAAATCGCCTGTTTTTTAGAAGCACTATTCATCCACTCTATTTTCAGATTGTTTAGTCACCAAGTTGTACGAGTATTATGTGTGTTTTAGATACTGCTACCAGAGCTACCTAGACTTCCACCGGTGCCGCAAGATTAGAGGGGAGAGCTACGAACCTTGCAACTACTTCAAGAAGGTGTTCACTTCCATGTGCCCGCACGGCTGGGTGGAGAAGTGGGACGATCAGTTGGAAGGTGGCAGTTTCCCCGGGAAAATATAAACATGTATTCCTACCTCTAGTACATTCTACAAAATAATAGATATGTTATTGTTGTGTTCATTAAAATCCATTTTGTTAAATTGAATGAGTTTCTTACACCTTCAAAATGTATTATTTGAAACATACAAAAAAATTAATTTTGTTATTTTGTTGCATCTAGTTTTAAAGAACCGGCCAAAACTTGTGAAAAATGTATGAAAATTTAAATAAATCTTTGATTTTTTGATTGAATATTATTTTGAATGTACTTTTGCCTTGAATTTATCTTGGCTATAGTCAAGTTGTAAATATAAAAATTAAGTTAAATGTTGACTTTTTTCTTTCATAAAACCTGAAGAGCTATATACCTTTTTTAATATGCTTACCACAGTCAACTATGGTAATTTTATTTTCCATATAATTTAATCAAGTGGAAAACAATATAAGTAATATTTTCTTTGTATAGTTCAGCAGAATCTCTTAATTAAATCAACAAATATTAAAATAATTCTTACATAATTTTTTGTAGTGTGGTAGTACGGTCAAAAACAAATTAGGTACTTAAACAGTTTTTGCAGATTTATAGTAAAGGAGCATTAGATAAAAATTCTAACATTTAAAATCCCTACACAAGATATTTTTTTGTCATGCTGCAGCACAAAGAGCCGTTTTTATTACATGTGTTGTAGGCCTAAAGTAGCATTTTTGCTCTCGAGGGTAATAACGTTTTTAGACCCTAGGGAGTAAAAATGAGCTGTTGTCAACTAAGTTGTAAATTTCACGATTGTTTAATCGATTGAAGCTTATTGTTGCCTTATTGTAAATAGTTTGACGTATCGATAGTGCACACTACGGTAACACAATTGTAATACCGGTAGACAAAAAGATTGAGTTAAGTTGAAATGAAAACCATTTTAGTTTCCTAAAATAATTTTTTTCTTTAAAGTCACTTTAGTGATGAAATATACTATTGCCACTAGAAGCTCCTCATGTATTGAAATTCTATTATAAAACCTGCATCTTTTAATATTGAGACTGAAGGAAACACAATCGCTGAGGCCATTCTTTCAGAACAATCCGAATAGGTGTTCTAATCAATTTATTTTTTAAGGCATAAACAAACTTAAACTGTAAAATGTTACCAGGAAAATTTGAGTATGCATACAATATTGCACTTTTATTGACCATAGTCTTCCTTGCTTTTAGCGAATTTCCCATATAGGGAATAAGCTATTACCGTAGTACTCATGGTAAGACCTGGACCCGGGACCGATTTTTTTTTTCGTTTTTGAGGTCCCTAGAGGCCAAAAACACCATCCGTTCAAATTCATATGTATATATATTTATATATATATATATTTATATCTATATAAATAAAATTAGAGTTTTGTCTGTACATTGCTCAGAATTATATACGTTTAGGTTATTTTTACGTTTTATACATTAAAGAAGCAGAAACGAGTCTTATCTCAATTTCTGTCTGTCTGTCTGTCTGTCTGTCTGTCTGTCCCTTTGTCTGTAACACTCAAGATGGCATTTTACGCAATCTTCTCCGTGAAAACCAGAGTACATATCAAGATCCAAGTCATTTTAATGTATTCACTGGATTGGCGAGAGTGTCTTTAGTGATTTAAATATAGCCTCACTACTTTGTAAATAAAATTACGGACGTTCAAAAATGCAGTTTTGTGCGATTTTTGTCAAATTTCCGTTCAATTTTTATCACATAATCGTCTATGAAATAACGAACAGCTGTTCGGATCAAGATTATTTTTTCTAGCTGTCAATGACATGTTTACAAATGTTGTTTACAAATACCGCAACTATTTCGAATCACGTTTTGAAAGCAAATCCCAACCAAGTGAGATTAAAAACGTTTTTCTTACATAACGGATTTAATTAATCGCAAGTGCAATAATATAGTCTAATAGTGTAACCGTAAATGAAATTAAATAACTAGACATTGTCCAAATCGGTACCAGAAATTCTTTGAGTATAAAATGTTTCTTGAGTTTTGACAACCAGAAAGAAGAAGACCTTGAATCAGTGTTGTATAGGGCTGTGACACTGAAATGATCGTCGCCAATAGCTTACAAAAAAGGTTTCCACTCATTGACGGCGCTTCAATGGCGGTTGTGTAAAGTTTAAAGTAAAAAATCACAACTGCAGTGGGTGATTGTAACAGAGGTTTAACAGAGGAAGTGCTAAACTCGCTTTTCCAATGTGTCACTTTCTGTTTCTACTCACCGTGTGATGCAATCGCTGGACCATACAGCCAATAGGCCCATAGCTCATATCTTGGGTACGTAAGCCTACATATTTATTCATAACGACCTTTTTGACGACGATCCTTGATACCGGTACTTTTCCATAGAATACATGGCCTACCTACTTAAAAAATAAAATTACAAATGACCAAAACCCCAACATTGTGTGATTTTCGTCACATTTCCTTCTAATGTTAATAGATATACTAATCATTGTTTAGAGAATGCGTAATCTATTAAATAACAAAAAGTTGTTTGGGTAAGGTTGCTTTTTTTCAAACTGACACCGATAAGTTTACGCTATAACTTTTTACGAGAAAATCCAAAAGCAAGAGATCAATAACCTCGGGACTAGATATTAATGTATTTAATTGGTCCAATTTACTATAGTTCTTAGGTAGGTTCTTACGTAGGTACTGGTTCTTTTCCTTAGAACCGTTGGTAGCTGCTAGAATCATTTTTACGTAGGTACCAACACATCACTGTAGTTTACAAATTAGTTATCGTTGGTGTTGCACCTTATTTATTAGAGCCGTCCGTATTCAATTTAAGTGATATCTTAACTCTGTATAAGTTTTGCTTTTTCTGTCTGGATTCCAAATCTTAGCTTACCCGGTATGCTAAGAAAATGATAACCTATTTGAGTAAAACTATTGTTGGGCAAACCATCATGAATTGTTTACGCCTTTATATTGTTTATGTATCAATAGTTCGTGGCCTTTTTTGGATTGTTGTGTGTATGTCTGTTGGTAACGCATTAATGTCCTTATTTCTCAGTGTTTCACGGAATGGACAAGAGCACCTTTGATACTGAAAATGTCAACCGGAATAAAGTGTTAAATGGTGAGGTTGAGGTAGTACTTTAAATACGTTTAAGTTAACCGATGTGGAAAGTAACTTTCAATTATAGGCCTACTTTAGGGCTACGCTTCATGGATCTATAAAACATTTTTTAGTTTAATCATTGGACATATGGACCATAACGATCCGGGTGACATTTAATTGCGAAGCATTTATTTTGGCTTGAACTGTCAGATACTGTATTTGCGAAGGTTTATATATAATAGTTTTGCCAGCATATCTGCAAATATATAAACTAACTGCTGTTCTTAATCTTAATATAATCTTAACTGACTACTATAAGATCCCCGTGCGTAGAACGGGCACACAGCTAGTATATATATATATATATGTGTCCGTTAGCGCGATAACTCGAGCAAAAATGATCCGATTTTGATGAGATTTGGTACAAACGTGTAAACCTACGTTTATTCGAACGAGTTCGCGAACCAGCATGATCGGACCATGGGAACGGGGGTTTATGGGGGCTTTTATGGGGTAAAAATGGGTTTTTCCCATTTTTTACCCAAAAAACATAAAATTCTGCAATTTCTTTCCAAACTGTTTTGTAGAGCTTAAAAAAACAAATAATTTAGTATATTGAAGCGTTATAATGCGCCTAATGGTTACGGAGAAAATTCCAAAAAATTGTAAATTTAAAATTCTCATGTTATTCTTATGGAGAATAAGAAACTGTTGTAGTTTGCTTGTTTACTAACATATTTTGCCCAAATTTGGAAAATGTTTTTATTTCTTACTAACTATTAACATTTTACATAAAAAACACTTTTACCCTCCCTGTTGCAGCAAACCTAAGTATGTGTTAACTGATTCTATTTAAATAGGGAATAAATGTGATATTTTTAAGGAGACATTTAAGTGTAAATCCAATCAGGCAAATGGAAATTCGCTTAGTCTGCAGGTTTGCTGCGGCGGGGGTATTTTATATTGTAATATTCACGCCAACCCAAATTCAAATAGTAAATATTTCATTTCAACCAAGTCAGTAAATGTTTGTAGCAAACTGTTAAATTAGCAAACTTATTGACTGTTTACAATTAACTAGTGATGGGCGATACAGGTCAATGTATCGATACTGCGTATCGATACGTATCATAACGTAGTGTATCGATACGTGTATCGTATTGTATCCTCATGTATCGATTTTTACCCGTATCGGATCAAATATCGTATCGTATTGTTTATTTATGATTAAAAAAAATATATTTCAAATATACAAGATGCAGAGACAAATGCTATGTTAATTACATGCTTCTAAAGATTGTTAGTGGTATATATTCCCTCAGATAAACCTTTTTCCATGTTTTTTTTGTATAAAACTACCACATAACCTCTAAATCCGCAACAGATTTTATTCTTTTCCTAGTTTTTGCACATGGATAATTATAGAAAATAAAAATGTACTTTCAATGCTGGCGGGTACTTACTAGTAGTAGGCCTATTAAGACTAATAAGCATTTTCATTAATGAATGATTATGGCCCAGTTTTGAGGTTATTTGCAAAACATAGGTGGAAATACAAAAATGTTTTATCCCTGTTTACTGTCTATAAGGATGGTAGAATAAAAGGTACTTTCCTGTTAAAGGGAACATTCATTATTATCGATCTGATCTCTGTCGATATATATATATATAGATATTTTTGTTTTCCTTTACGATCCATGCAAGGCCCCACTAGAAAAAAACCCATGCCTTCTGATTTAATATCTTCAAACAGATTTAAAAGGGAACACTCATTATTATCGATGATTTTTTCTCGATATATCGATATTAACAAATTGAAACATATCAGCTGACAAACTACGATAAATAAACTAACCAAACTTGCTGTAACATTAAAAAACTCCGCTTAATATTCTCCAATCGCATTTTCTGTTATCAAACGGATTTCTTAAATGGTACAGCAAGTTTGGTTGGTTATGTTAGGTTAGCTTAAAACAGTTTCATTTCTTAATCCATATAATAGACTATATTTTATCCTAAAGATCAGCTGTCAATTTGTAATGTATCGTAAAGGAAAACAAAAATATCAATATATCGAGAAAAAATCATCGATAATAATGAATTTTCCCTTTCAGGAAAGTACCATATTAACTTATCGCAGTTGTCAACTGACTTCTCGTTCATTAATACCAGTATATCAGATCAAAAAATAGAATATCGACGAATCGAAAAAAATCATCGCTATTATTAATAATTAATTATAATATAATAATAATAATACATATAATAATAATTATTATTATTAGATATTAATAATGAATGTTCCCTTTAACAGGAAAGTACCGAATAAAATTATAAAATTCCTACAAACAAACTTCGAGGAGAGGAAGCTTGGAGAAAATGTTACTAACTTAAAAAATTGGATTTATATCAATAAATAAACAACCTGCGCTAATGTTGGGCCACAACTTAGTGTTTATGGAATTGTTGTGTTAGTGTTGGTAAATTTAAAAAAAGTCCTAACTTAGCAAAGGTAGCCTAATGATGTTCCTTTTGATAGGTTACATGCTGTAACCTGTAACTGTACAATTACAATACAATTACAAATACAAAACAAACGGTTTGGGTTTGGAGTTTTAAACTGACTGCTGATTGGCGATTGCTGACTGGACTCTGGCTGGAAGGAACTCAAACTTTCAACTCACTCTGGTCTGATCCTGATCACCGATCTCAAACATAGACAAACAAAAAAAACATAAGCAATACGGTATTCGATACGATATTAGTTGGTGGTGTATCGATACGGGCGTATCGATATGCACCTCTGTATCGATACGAAATATCGATATTTTTTGTTCTATGTATCGATACGTATCGATACGAACATCACTACAATTAACATGAGAACATATTATGTTCTCCTTCTCACTTTTAATTTCTGACAACAGCTGGAGTTTCATAACAATGTTTCCCATGTTAATCTTATGGAGAAATACAAAACTTAAGTTTCCTGCACAACTTCATGTTACCCTCTTTGCAATGACATTTCAATAAGAATGAACTCCAAATTTTCGGCCCCATTTGTCTCACTGGCCTCTCTGCTCGCCGGTTTCAGCTCGCCATTTCACCTTGCCATTTCACGGGCCCCTGGGTCCCTCCGCATTGCGAGCCCTTCTGTTACACCACTGAGCCAATCTATTGCCAATCTATCTATACGTTACTGAGCCACTGAGGTATTGAATTTGTTAACTGGACACTACATCTACTGTATACCAACAATCATTACACATTTCTACAACTTAGCTGCATCAAAGAGTAGCCAAATGTAATATTATTGTATATATATTATACGGTCTGGAAGAAATTAACAGACAAGATGTTGAAAAGAATCATTTTATTATACACTGATAGTACGGAAGACGTTGAAGCCACTGTTGGCAGTACTGATGATGACACCGAGCTGCTGAGGATGCCAATGGAGCTCCTTGACCTCTGTCTGACCTTGGTGAATAAACATCAGCTGAGGCGGCAAATCCTAGAGGACATCAAGTTAGTTAATAAAACAATTTCTAAGCCAAAAGGTGGAAACGTTTTCCTACAGTTACCTAAAAATATGTTTACCACACTACACTATTTTGACGAACTTCCCACACAAGGATTTAGTGCAGAAAACAGCTGTTTGCCGCCAGCTTAATCAAATGGGGTTTCATTGCGTACTACTGCAATGAGTTTTACCGGACACCAATCAGCTGATTATACTATATTTGGGTGGCAATGAGTGGTTATAAACAGAAAAACCTCTCTTAGAGGTTATCACTAGTGATTTTTAGTCCTTTAGTTGGTGGTAATATATAAGGATTTGTACAGATTTAGTAGTATGGTATAAACTATCGTACGTAACTCGTTCAAAATGTGTGTACCGGACTCGTATGGTAATCCCGTACTCGACTTCGTCTCGCACGGGAACGACCACACTTGTCCGGTAAACACTTATTTTCAGGACTAGTAACATAATATACTATTTTATGAACAGAGAATGTAACAAAGAACACTAGGGCAGTGGTCACCAATTAAATGTAATGGAGGTCCATTCTAAGTTTCTATAAAACTGTCACGGTCTGCACAATAATCCGGGGGGTGGAATACCCCCCAGCCAAGAGGGGGGTCCGGGGATCCTCCCCCGGAAGAAATTTCAAAATTTCAGTTAAAATGGTGTGATTTAAGCCTATTTGCGCATGCTATTTGTAACATTTTTTTGTTGCCTAAATGCCATAAAAAAGTTTGAATTTATTAGAAAATAGCCTATTGTTTAGGTTTGGAAAAAAATCACAAATTATAAATTGTGTCATAAAATTTAATTGCACTTAGAAATTATACATAAAGATTACTCACATATGAGTGTGGAGTGTTTAAGTAAATTAATGAAAAATTAAGAGAAAAAATGAAAGTCATGTTTACAAGAAGAACAGAAAGTAATAATGTTTATTTATTTATATAATACAATGGATTATCTTTAAATCATCAGCTGTTTTATTAATTCAAAAATTCTAAACAGGCTAAACAAATTTTTAAATAAAAGAACTGAACAATGAGTATTCAAACTTAGTGAGAGAAATGACATTTTTTATTCTGGGCCACTTCTTTAAAGTTTGGAATGAGTCCTGTGCAGCTGATTCTCATCAGGTTGTTGAGGTGGCTGTCACTGAGGCGAGATCTGTATTTATTTTTGATAAAGTTCATCCTTGAAAATGCAGACTCACATGTGTACGTTGATCCAAACATTGTACACAGTTTGATGGCCAAGTTTTTCAGTTCAGGATATTTTTCACTGCTCACATACTTGATCCAAAATAGCTCACACGAAAGTTCTTTCGGGACTTGTCTAAATTTGTCCTTCAGAGCAATGTCTTCCTGGAAATCTATTATTTCCATTTGCAGGGCTGCTTTATTACAATGCAAAACTACTGCTGCTTCATTGGTCCACTCTCCATTAGGCTTTAGAGAAAAACAGTTATTTAGGACTTGAACCACATTCCCTATTTTGTCAAAGTCACTACATCGAGCTTCGAACTCAGATTTGAGGTTGTTTAAAAAGTTTACAAACGGTTTCATGTCAATAACGTCGTCGGTTTCACAAACTGAGTTCAGGCTGGGAAAGTGCACTCGTTCGTTACTGATATCTTCACACCAAAGAACAACCTTTCTCGTAAAGATTCTAATTTCTGAGAGAAGCTCACACACAAGAAGTCCTTTCCCTTGAATCTTTAAGTTTAACATATTGAAATGTCTGAAGACATCTGTCAGGAAAGCTATTTTTGGGATAGTGTCTTCTGTATCAAGCAGAAAGCCCAAGTGTTCATTTGCAACTTCTTCACTACACTCTGAAAGAAATACTTTTATGTCCTCCATAACAGCAAAAAACCGTTGAAGTACAAATCCTTTGCTCAGCCACCTTACGTTGTTGTGAAGTAATAAATCGTCAAACTGTGCTTCAGTTTCCTCAAGAAGTGATTTGAATTGACGGTGCCTAAGTGAAGACTTTGATCGTATGAAGTTAATGATCTTAACTACAGTTTGCATTGTACCTTCAAGAGCAGGATTCAGTTTGCAACACAACACGCTTTGATGGATAATACAGTGGTAGGCTAGCAAACTTTCATTAAATTTAGGGTCTGTTTTCATTCGACTTACCAAGCCTTTGTTTTTCCCTGTCATCGCACGAGCACCATCTGTCGTTACTGATATAATTTTTTTCAAATCCAAGTCAGCTTTCTCAAAATAGTCCATTAAAACATTGTACAAGTCCTCTCCGCGTGTTTGCCCTGATATTGGCAAAATAGTTAACAATTCTTCCACAAACTGTTCTTTTTTAATGTCCAAAAACCTCACAAAAACAATCAATTGAGCTGTATCGGTAATGTCACATGATTCGTCTAATGCTAAAGCGTATCTGTCTGTAGCTGCTAGAATCTGTTTCAAGCTTTTAGAACTTTCTTCTGCTAAAACTTCAGTGTTTCGTGTGCTGGTAGATGCAGAAAGCGGCATGCGTCGAATAGTGTCAACAACGTCTTGTTTATTCTCAAATAACACGTTTCCTGCCTCAATCATGCATTCTTTGACTATATCTGCATCAGTAAACGGTTTCATATGTTTAACGAGAGTCCACGAAATACGCAAAGAAGCCTCTGCACATCTTTCTTGGGCAGTCATTGTTCGATTTAATATCTGGGTACTAGCTAAGTAGTTCGAACGTAAACTCTCAATCTTAGACTTGCGAAGATCACTTCCTATTGGGTATTTTGTATCAAACGGCTTGTGTTTAGTCTCAAAGTGTCGTTTAACGTTTGAACTCTTGACAACAGATACCGTTTGTTGACATATCAAACACACAGGCACAGCTCCACTTTTGTTTGGAAGTATAAACAAATACTGGTCCGTCCACTCTGGTAAAAACTGCCTATTTTCACTGTCTACTTTCCGCTTTTTGCTATCCATTGTAAGTAATTCGCACTACACTTTTTGCATAACTAACACACGGCAGGATGAATAATCAATGAGAGAACTAAACACCACATTAGTAAACAAACAGACGACGCGACATCGACAGTGCTGACTACAGCCAGTGCGGGCGGCCTGCCGGGCGATGACGACGTGACGTGGCCACTGGGTGGGCGAGTTCAATTAGCGATGGGGGGGGGAGGAAGCGTAAAGAAAACGCCGGTGCATAGCATCGCTTATAACGGTTTTTATCTAGCGCGGAGCACGGCGAATTAACTATGAATTAACTATGTTTCGATAAAAATAGTTTTCTCGTATAAAATATTTTAATCTTTAATGGTTGGTACCGATATATCTTTAGGTTCAAATAAATTTTAAATTCACTAAAAGATAAAAATACATAAAAAACACAGTTTGTGAATTCGAACTAACGGTCCGTAAAAAACCAGGCGGCGGTCCGGATCCGGACCGCGGTCCGCCATTTGGGGACCACTGCACTAGGGCATAGGTTTTATATTACCGGTATGATTTTTGTGGGTTCACCAAAATAGCACAAGCATCTTAAAACTACACTATAAACAAAGGAAGAAAATGCTTTTTTTTATGCCAGGGGGGGCTCTTTCCCATCTGGGTAAGTCTGTTATTTCCTCACAAAAATTCTTTTTAAGCTTCGACAAATATTAATATGTATATGGCATGCAAAATTTAACACACAATCATGAAAAATACAAATGGAAATTGAGATCCTATGTAGTTGGAGACATTGACTGCAGAGTATTACACGACTAACCTTGATTTCTGTGTCGGTGTCAGTATCATCTCGCTCCACAGCCAAGTCCCACAGTGATATCTGGTCGTCCTCTCCACCAGCTGCTAAAACGGAACTCTCACATGGCTGCCACTCTACTGTAGTGATAGGTGCTGAGTGATGCTTCAAGCTGGCCACAGCGCTCCCGGTCTGTGACAGAACAAAGTTTAGTCACATTGGTAAACACGTTATTTAAGGTGAGCTCCCCAAACCCAACCTAAACAGGAATGGGACCCTTTTCCAACATACGATGGTAAGGGAGGCAATACCTTAGACCGCATTGGCACTGAACATACACTAATGCACTAGTAATGTTGGTAAAATCAACGTTCTTGCAAAGTAGTTATGAGCTTGTCCAGCAAAGTCAGTGTTAGCTTTCTGAAGGCTAGAAACTACATTCTTGAAATATTTCCTAAACATTGTACTTGGGTGAAATGCCAAAGCACACCAGTCGGGACCATATTTATTTACCTGAAAGTTTCTCAAGTCCCAGATGTGTAGAAAGCCGTCATCGCCCCCGGAGGCTATCAGTGGCTCCTTCTCATTCCAGCTGATGACATTGACATCACTGGTGTGTGCCTCCACAGTCAGCTTGCAGGCCTTGGTCGGAGCTTCCCGTGTGTCCCAGATACGTATCCTGACACCCAACGACAAGTGATAAAAGAAAAGTCTGAAGACAACTTATAATGGTGTACTAATTCAAAGTGATTAGTTCAATTTGTTCATCTTCTTCAAATTTACAATACATATCAATTAGGCCTATTACTTTGAAGCAAATTAAAGCATTTTTCTAGATTAATGGTAAGTGAGTAACACATTTTTCTACAGCTTTATTTGCTGGTTAGTTAAGAATAACTAGCTACAGCTGATTCATATGTATAGGATGTAAACTTAATAACAACGTTAAGTTAATGACAATAATTTGCCCGATATTAGCTTTAAAAGTAAATGGTACATTGTCCTGTCATACAATGGCACTTGCGCACATCAGAGAGGAAAACGCTGTGTCACTGTAAAACTAGACAAAATTAATCATTAAATAAAAAATATTTGAAATACGTAGTTAGCTTGATTGATGTGGTGGTTTGTGCTTGAAACTTCTGGCCTTAAGTAACAGATTCAAGCCACGCACTCTCCAAAGCTAAAAGAGACTGCTAAAATAAATCAAAAACAAAACGAACAATGCAGAAATCCACACTATAAAAAAACAATCACAAGAAAATCCAAACAGCTATACCCAAACTTAAAGCTAACCCTCTGCTCGGATAGCCAGGGCAGAGGAGTAGCTAATAAAATTGAATATCTAAGCCATGGGAGAATCAAGGCTTTTGGTTACGTAAGAGCCAACACCACGTTAGCCCAAGTCATTGACTCTACAGCCATTGAAGCCTCCACCCCTGTGGTTATCATTGGTGGAACAAATGACAGCCTAAATTGCGAGTTTGGCGATATCTATAAAGACCTAGAACATAAACTTAAACTCAAAAGTGAAGAAAGAACCATCTTCATCACAACCATACCTATTAGATATGACAAGCCCCTAATGCATCCTATAAATGTTGATCTATACACCGTGAATCATTACATCGAGGAACTAACACAGAGGATGGATAATGTTTATTTGATCAATCTGACCCAGCTTGAGCGTTGCGACTTTACAAGACATGGTCTTCACTTTAGCAGTCGAGGAAAGGAGAAATTGGCTGGAATCATCATTGATGAAGTAACAACCTGGGCCCGAAACAAACTAATTACTACTAAAAAGGATATTCAACTAACCGATGCACATATGAGCGATGTAATTAATGAATTTTGTCATGACCCACAGGTAGCCTTTGCACACTGCATATCTGCTGATTTCAGTGATGGAAAGCAAATGAGTCAAGGAGTAGCCAAAGTCTTCAAAACTAAATTTGGAAACCATGTGAAAAAGATTTCTGTGCTAAAGATCTAACATTTCAGAAAACTAAAAATGGAGCAGCAATTTATGGATTGGTAACGAAACCTAAATATTTTCTTAACTCAGGGAACTACAGCAACTATCTTAATAACTACAACCAAGCCTTCAAACAGTTAGAACAAGATTTCAAAAACAAAAACTTCAAGAAATTAATTTGTTCTCCTATGGGATGTGTGCGGGATCGCATACCTCCTCATCACTTTATTGCTAATCTTAAAAAATTCTGCAGCAGAACTGGTGCATCCATCTTAATTGTCACATTTGATGAAACCTCAACAGGAAATTTACGTAATGGACTGACACACCCAGTTTTTGTACAGTGTCTCCGAGACCTAATAATTTCATCTTCACACTTGCCCCTGACTTCAGCTGCTGAGGAGTCTCCTACAACACCTAATGCTCAACAAGGACCTGCTCCAACCAACCCACAACCTGCACCTGGCACTACCCACCACCAGCCAACTGTAACAGTTGTAGTTGACCTCACATCTGATGACCAATCATGTTTGCAGTCCACTGTAGTTCCTGGTCATCTTGCCTATAGTGAAATAGTGAAAGTGTGTGACAAAAAGCAGAGTAATAGTGAGAGTGTAGTCCAGATCATTGGTAACACAGAGTCTAGTGATAGTAGTATTGATTTAGATGTAAGCCTTGTAAATACTAATGTTGAAATCCCACAGCTTGTAAATAGTAATGTTTTTTTAGACCACTAGATAACTACAATAACAGACCTACTAGAAAAATCCCTTTTAAACTCTCAAGTAAGTCATCAGACAGACCCAAAATAGCTAAAAGTTTTTCAAATCTACTGTTATTTCATCAAAATGTGCAGCACCTATCATCCAGATTAGACATCTTAAAAATTAATCTCACAGAAATCCAACCTACTGTTTTGGCAATATCTGAACACAAAATGACAGAACCAGAAATATCAGTTTTTAGTATTCCAGATTACAAAGTATGTTCATATTTTGCTAGATCTATAAAAGTGGGAGGTGGAGTAATGATCATGATAAAAGATAACATTAAAAGTAAAAAAATCCTAATACCTGCTGTTGAATCTCTATTAGAAGAGAAAGAATTTGAGTGTTGTCTTGCTGAGGTCTCTTTCGCTGATTTAAATTGTGTAATAGCTTGTATATATAGGTCTCCCAAAAAATGTTTGATTAAAAATTTTCTGAATAAATTTGAAAGTTTGTGTAGTATTTTAAGTAAACGTTTTTCAAATATAATTTTAGCAGGGGATTTTAACATAAATGTGTTAAATAAAGATAGAACATACAAAGATTTTGTTAATATATTAAAGATATATAATTTGTCATACTGGGTAAATTTTCCAACAAGGATAGATGTAAATTTAAATTCACAGAGTGCTATTGATAACATTATAAGTAATATAGAGAATAGAGATTGTAAAATTACAGGTATTGTAACTTGTATTTCGGACCATGATGCTCAACTCTTTGAAGTTTCATGCTCAAACAAAAACAGTAAAAAAATAACAAAAAAACTAATAAGGAAATTTTCAACAAATAATTATGATTTTTTTGAGAAAGAGTTATTGACAGAAACTTGGTTAGAAGTCTATCAGGCGCCTATAGATAAGAAATATGATGTTTTTTATAGTATTTAATCATTATTTTAATGTATTTTTCCCTAAAACTTTAACAGCGATAAATTGTTTCTAAAAAAGTAATTGGATTACTGAAGAAATAATATGCAAAAAAAGACAGATTAAAGAATTAGAAATTTTATTTAGATTAAGTAAGAATGAAAGTCTTAAGGTAACCATTAAAAAGTTGAAAGCTGAACTAAAGCAATGCATTGACAAGGAAAAAAAAAATGTTTTTTGATAGAAAAGTAAATAATGCAAAGAATAAAGCAAAACAAACTTGGAAATTAATTAACTCAGAGGTAAACAACAAAAAGGTTTCAAAATGTAACATTGATATTTTGAGAGATGGTATATTTATTACTGACCCTCTCCAGGTCAGTAATAGTTTCAATGATTTCTTTGTGTCTGTGGTTGATAATTCTGTTCTTCCTAAAATTCTTCAAGGAAAAGATAGTGTGGTGCATTCTCAGCATTTAATTTCCATTAATAAATTCAAATTCAAGCAAATTGATGAGAAAGATCTTGAAAAATTAATATTATCTTTTGAAAACAAATATTCTACTGGCTATGATGATGTTTCAATTATTACTGTTAAAAAAGTTCTTCCTGCTATTTTAAAACCTCTTTTACATATAGTAAATTCTTCTCTCATTTCAGGCATTTTTCCTAATAAACTCAAAATAGCAAAAATTATTCCAGTTTTCAAAAAAGGGGAACCAAACGATGTTTCCTGTTACCGACCAATTTCACTTCTTCCAGTTTTTTCAAAAATCTTAGAAAAAGTTGTTTTTATACAATTGATGGATTTTTTAAATGAACATAACTTAATGGATTCAGAACAACATGGATTTCAAGCAGGCAAATCGACAGTCACTGCAGTTATTGAATTTATTGAAAGTATAATAAATGCAGTGGATAAGAGAGAAAAAGTAATTGGCATTTTTCTTGATTTAACAAGGGCATTTGATAGTGTATCGCATGAAAATCTTATTGACACTTTATCAAAATTAGGTATTCATGACAAAGAATTAAATTGGTTTAGATCCTACCTATTTCTTAGGCAACAATATGTTGAGATAGAACATTATAAATCAGATTTCTCAAGTAAATATAATTACATCCAAAAGTTTAATTCACAGATGCAGATGGTCCGCCATGGAGTTCCGCAGGGGTCGGTGTTGGGGCCCCTCTTGTTCCTAATATACTTGAGGGGTCTGCCTGACTTGATGCCTGTGGGCGGGGCGGCCTGTTTGTATGCTGATGATACTAATATTACCATTTGTGGAAATTCAAAAGAAAGTATTGAGGCATCATCATTGGTCAGTCTCTCCATCATAAAAAAATTCTTAGATAGCAAAAACCTTCTTTTAAACCCTGAAAAATCTAATTTTGTATCATTTTCTACAAAACAAAACAAAAACAAATTAAATCCAGACATAATCTTAGAAGATTATAAATTACAACAGGTAGAACATACAAAATTTCTTGGTTTAATAATTGATAAAAATCTAGCCTGGGACAAACATGTTGATCATGTTATCAAAAAAATGTCTTCAGGAGTATCTGCTTTAAGACAAATGTATAAAGTTTGCAGCTTAAAAACATTAATATCAATCTATTATGCCTTAGTTCATTCTAATTTAGCTTATGGAATCAGTATATATGGAGCAACTACATCAAAAAACTTAAAACGGATTCTATCGTACCAGAAAAGGGCAATTAGGGCAATGTTTAATTTGAAAAGGAAAGAATCGGTAAAACATATTTTTACCGATCTTGGAATACTAACTGTTCATGGACTATATATCTTGGAAACTATTATTTATGCAAAAAATATTACAAAAACTCAGGTATCAAACAAAATTAGTCATAATTATAACACTCGTTCTCAATCTCAAATTGATAGACACAATCTAGAATTTTATAAAAAGAAAACAAAATTCGCAGGAAATAAATTTATGTCCCATCTTCCAAAAATACTTCTAACTGAAAATGATACAAAAAAGTTTAAAAATTGTCTGAAACAGTATTTGATTAAAATTGCCCCTTATTCTCTTGAAGAGTTTTGGGAGAACAAATAAAATAGATATTCTGTCTTATTTTTAGTTCTTAAATGTAAAACATTTTATTTTGTAAGATCTGACTCTATTCCTGTACAATTGTACTTAAATGAATAAAGGATATTTTGATTTGATTTGATTTGATTTGATTTGATTTGCTATCCTACTCACGTCTTGTCAACAGAGCAGGAGGCGAGCACGTAAGGCTCGTTAGGAGACCAGCACAGGTCCTCGACAGAGGCAGAGTGTCCCACAAGTGGTCGCTGGTCCACACTCCAGCTGGCCCCATTGTCTGCTGGCTTCCACACATGAATGTTGCGACGACAGTCTCCAGTGGCTAGCACACCTACAACAGCTCATCATTAACAGAAACCAGTAGGCCTGCTAATTATAGCTCTTTTGACTCTTTCAATATCTCAGTTACTCTTACCAAAACAGCTATTTTTAGGCGGCCTAGTTAATCTAACTTATTTTGGAAGAATCTAGCTCTGCCGAAGACCCAAATGTTCTAAAATGAGGTTACTAACCTGTCGTCAATAAGTCCTATATTGTCATAGATGACTTAATAGTTTCGGGGTTAAAACCCCATTTTCAAATCTTCTCTTCAGTCATCATATGTCAAACATAATCTCTTGCACAAGCCGTCCTCAAAATTACTTCACACATACTAACACATAAACACATGCAAAGTGTCTATTAACACATATATGTTGTGTGTTTAAACTAGGACTGTATATATATAGGACTGATTGACGACAGATTAGTAACCTCATTTTAGGTCAATAAATCAATCCTGGAGGCAAATTATATATAAAATATGTCCAAATGTTCTAGATTAGAAAGTGTTTTCCTGTACATAAGCTTTTTGATTAAATTATTCGATAATACAAAGATGAATTTTATCTTTGCAAAACAATATTAATAAATGTGTTTTTACAAACTGTCTGAAATACGATCAAGGTGGCCTCAACAACAAGACTAATCCAAGGATACTGGGGGATGGATGCAAATTTGTTTCTATTGCAGCCATTAACAAAATTAGTAGGTACTATACTACAAGGTACACATTTACACCTTACACATATATACTTGCCAGGTTGAGTAGGACACCAGGCTATGCCGTAGCCCTCAGACTGATGTCCTGTGAACACAAACAACGGCCTGATTGGTTCACCCACTCGACCACCGGTCTTCCTCCGAGCCGCAGCTTCTATCGGGTCCTCCAGGGATACCAACTGAGGCTTGAGATCTAACAGAGTCACTTTACCTTGCTCCGACCATACTCCACACAACACCGCGTCCCCATTCTGAGTCACCTGTGTAACCAAACATCAAATTACTCGTATTATCTGATTTCTTGTTGCTGATAACGCCATAACAGAATAATTGGTAGAATTATGTTACTAGACTACTAACTGGAAATTGGTTCACAATTGGAATTTATGACAAATCATTTGTTCATTGCCACTTAAGTTGCGTACCTACAAACCTTTATATTCATAGGGGTAAAAAAAAAATTGTATGGTATTTGTCACAAACATATTTGAAAAAAATCTTACCCTAATCCTGTTGACACTACCGTGGTGTTTTATTAAGATGGATTCCATTTTTGGTTTTAGCGCTGCATCTTCTTCATCATCTTCATCACTATCTGAATCTGATTCTTCATCTTGTATCTTGTGCATATTGGAAAGCTACAAAAAAGTATAATGTTTTAGACAAAAAACACCAATTTTTAACAATAATAAAAATAAAAAAATTTAAAAATAACCTATCTATAAATACAAAAATAAAAATGCAGATAATTTGATACTCTGCATGTAAAACCCTCCACATGACTCTTTAGAAAAGTCCCTATAGAATCTACAATATCCAATGGACTGAGATTCCAAGAGTTGTGGAGGAGAGCAGAAGTGACCCTGTTTAAACAACAATAAAACAGAGAAAATACCAAGTGAATAGGCTTCATGTTGAGAAAAGGCTATTGGCCTAATAACATTAGCCAAGCTCTGTTCTGTAACCATCAAAGAAGCAGGAAAAGAAGAGGGCCAAAAACAACGTGGAGATCAGTCGAGAGAGAAGGCAAGAGCTAAGTTCATATGAAGAAAATTGCTCGAAATTGTCTATGGAGGAGAATTTGTTGTAGCCTGCCCAATTTGGATTGAAAGAAGTAAGCCATTTAGGCTTGCATATTTATTTTAGTAAAAAAAGTAGGCCTAATTATTAGAAAGGTTGAGTTATTAGAATAAAGTTCCATTTGTTGTCATTTGTCAACATTACATTGCTATAGATGTCAAAGAACACAAGAAATAAGGTAATCTAAATATATAAAAGGCAAAGCCCTCACTGACTGACTCACTCACTCATCACTAATTCTCCCACTTCCCATTTACCTAGGAGGTTGAAATTCGGTACACTGATTCTTTGGGCATTAAATAGGAAAACTAAGTTTTTATTCTGATCGGGCTTACGGGCTCCCCCCAGTGGCTCTGGAGTTTCCCATGTTAACCTTATGATTTTTCATATTTAAAAGAAATTTCTTAACAGCTGTTTCAATTAAACAAGTTGGTTCTGTTCTATGATGTTCAATAGCAATAAAGTTACAAGATTACCAACAGGGTGCAGCATTATTATTTTTTTAAATTTATGACTACAGACAATTTTCAACCAAAAGGTGAGTGAGCGTACCGAACGAACTTCAACCTGGAAGCGAGTTAGCGTAGCGAACGAGCTAACCTGAAGGCAAGTGAGTGGAGCGAATGAGCTGCAACCTAAAGGTGAGTGAGCGTAGCGAACGAACTTCAACCAGGACGTGATTGAGCCATGCGCACAAGCTCACTTGTGAAGTTAAACAGGGCAAAGCCCGCGGGTACAGCTAGTATGCAATATAGAAGGAAAGAGTAGGGCCTACAATGTACTTGTTTGGCTAAAAAAAAACTGAATAAAACATCACAAACAACAATTAGCAACAAATCAATATTTAATCAATATTTAAACTGTGAAAATTAACAATAATAAATTAACAATAATAAAAAATAAAATTAATAAAATTAACAATAATAAATAAATTACTATTACACACCAAAGTATCACTGGATAAAAGCTCATAAATATAAGGTAAAAATGAATATTAAAAAAATTCATCATGAGAATAAAACGCTATATTTATAAACTAGCTTGACAGTTTTTATTTAAATGGTTGGATTTTGAGGTTTCTGATCTCTGGTGGCAATTTACCCTATTGAAACACTTGATTTGTAAATATTTGTGGCTGACTATTGTTTTCCACAATCTAGAAGAGGGTGGGACAATTACTAGGATAATATCACTAGGAACTAGTTCGGCACAGAGAGGATTCCAATTCACTTAGGTACCGTACTCTGTTACCTTAGTCACAATAACACTGTTGTTATTTGGACGATCTGCCTGGGTCCCAGCAACAATATGAGCAGTCAACGGGTAGTCCTCTCGGTTGTTGCCGAAACAATCCTTTATAATGTCAAAACTTAGGCAAGGGGATCCTGCAATAAAAACAGTTTAGTTGAATAAGACTCAGTATTTTTATGATGTTGAAATATAAAGGAGCTAAATATTTCATTTATTAAAAGAAAATCCCTTTTTTCAACAGTTCAAGTAGGCTAGATACAATTCCTAGATTTGAGAGAATGAAAAAAAAATATAAATTATGGTAAATGCAGTAGTACATAAATGATATACTAGATAATAATAGATACATATGTTTAAAGTACGAATATCAATAAAAATTTTAACAAGAAAAACGCAATATGAGTAATTTATTCAACAGGAATTATTGAATACGATGATAATATAATGAAAAAAAAACTGATAGTAAATAGCCTTTATAACAATATATTTATAATATTAGTATGATAAACAAAAATAAAGAATGTTGATATAAGTTGCTACTGCAATGTCTTTATTAAATCCAATAACTTAAACTTATCCATAGATTTCACAACATCTCTAATTATTCTCAGCATCAAAGCAGCCCTGTCTAACTGCTATAACTTACTTAAAATACCCCCGTCGCAGCAAACCTGCATACTAAGCTAATTCCCATTTACCCGGCTTGATTTCTACTAAAATATTCCCTATAAATTTTCAGATTTATTTCTTATAACATTAATTTTAGTGAGTAGTTAGGTTTGCTGCTACGGGGAAGATGTTGAGGTGTGTTTTTTCAATTGAAATATTGATAGCTTAGTATGAAATTAACCAAATTGCCAAATTTGATTAAAATATATCCAAAAACAAGCAAACTAGAACAGTTTATTTATTCTCCATAAGAATAACATGGGAATTTTAAATTTACAATTTTTTTTAATTTTCTCCGTAGTCAATGAACATTCAAAAACACTTCAATATACTAAATTATTTGTTTTTTTAAGCTCTTCAAACTGGTCTAGAGAGAAATTTAGAAATTTAAAGTTTTTAGGGTCAAAAATGAGAAAACCCCATTTTTACCCCATAAAACCCCCCATAAACTCCTGATCCCATGGTCCGATTATGCTGGTTTGCAAACTCGTTCAAATAAATGTAGGTTTACACGTTTGTACCAAATTTCATCAAAATCGGATCAATTTTGCTCGAGTTATCGCGCTAACGGACACATATATAAATAAATATATATATATATATGAATTTGAACGGATGGTGCCTACAGTTTATGTTCAGTATTAAAATTCACCTTTACATTACAAATATATATGTATATATTTAGAACTAAGCAGCTTTTTACATTATTAGTGTGGGAACCGTTGGTGGCGGTTAGATTAATGCATCTGCAATAGCCTACTAAAAGGCTATGGGAAGGGAGGAAAACAGGTTCACGTAGTTGGAAGTGGGGAAGGAAGTGGTAAAGGCGAGAAGTTCTGAGTGTGGGAACAGTTTGTGGCAGATAGATTAATGTACATGCAATACTAAAATTCTGAGGGAAGGGAAGGAAACAGTTCCACGTAGGTAGTGGCAATGGAAGTGGTAAAGGCAAGCAGTGTGGGAACCGTTTATGGCATTTAGATTCATTAGTTAGATAAACATATATTGGATTTTTGCTAATTTTTAGGTGATATTATAGCGCTATCGTTAGTATGTGTTATATATCATTATAAGCCATACAATATTTTTAAGAAGACTCCTTTACACCGTTCTGTGGCAATTAGGTTAAGTGAAATTAGTTCAGTTTGGCTAAGTTTTGTTTATTATAGGCGTCATAACAAATAAGGAAATAGGCTTCATTTAATCAAAAGGCGTTATGTACATGAACGATGGATTAACCTCCTATCGATAACTGTTGGAAATCCATTACGTATATTACCAATGAGTTTGGTTAATTAATGGACGAGAAGTTAGGATTGTTGTTGACTGAGATTTGGTTTATTTGCCCATACAAATAACATTGTGTTCACTAGTGACACCGGTAAGTAGGATATGTGCTTGGTGGAAGACCATTGTTGCGCCCACGTTCACTCATCCCGTTACGCGCAGAATAAGCGTACTACTAGTGTAGTAGCCTATGTAGGCCTAGTACAACCTATACAGTGTTTCATAAGTTATCAAAGGCCCAGAAGATAAAAAAAAACTCAGACTAGGTTAATTGTAAAAACATAATTTAGGGGTTAGCCTAGGTTTTAAATGAAAAAAAAAACAGTAAGATCCTGATGACAATTAATGTGTAGCAACTTATAGGAATTACATCTAAAACCTATTCAAGGTAGGCCTACATACTGTTTTCGAAAGTGTTATGATAAATGGCTATGGAATGGGGAGAAATATTGAATTACCTACCCGTATTATATTCATGGAGCATTATATAGGCTGATGGATCGCACACCAGTTCTTCATCAGGGGCTAAGGGTTGTCCCGGGAGATATATTTTCCTTGGTATCTTTTCAACTTTTGAGTTGTCATCATTTTCATTGTTTTGTACGTCTTCTTTCATCTCTTCGTCGTTGACTTCTTCATTCTCTATGTCCATTGTAAATATAATTGGTAAGGCAAATAATAATGTCAATGATATTACAAAATAACTAACCTATACAACTACAACACGGCGTAACCTAACCTCGAAATTTTGTTATGGTTATGTTATGACAAACAGACAAAGACAAAAGCCTTCTGCTCTGCAGCCTGCTGGCCAGGAGAGCACAAGTTCACATGTACAGAAACCTTATACTGACGTCATAAATATCGAATGTATATATATCGATTGTACCGGGTGGTTACGGGTTTTTCTTCGGAATGTAAGTATCGGTTGCACCGAATAAGTAAAGGGGTTGTTTTTGTAACACTTTATTTGACGAATTGAATACTCTCGGTAGTTTATCCATTATAAATCAAATAGTAGAAATACAATAATATTCGTTACAGGCTGGGAATAAAATAATTACTGATACTTTGGATTGAACATCCAAGATGTTTGCAATTGTTTTCGTATTTACCTGACTTATAAAATAAAAACTTGAGTTCACAGGACGTTGAATTAGGCGCCTTAAAATAAGAAAATAAATAGCAAAACCTAGAAATAATTAGAACACAGATGAAACCATTGTTGTTTGATAGTGAAAAGTATTGTGAATAACATATCAAAAGTCTCCAAAAATATCTTTGGTGGAACACCACCATTTTTCCAAAATGGCGGCCAAATCCAGTAGTTTTTTGCTTTTTATTGAAATTCTGACTTTCCAGTCAATATTGGTGAAAAGTCGTCAATACATTTAATGTTCCTCCTGAAATTACCTTTAAAATGATACCAAATACATGTACCTACAACAAAAAATAAACCCCGTAGAAATAATAAAATATTTCAAATAAAAAAAATCTTTATAAATTAATGTAATAGTCCATAAGCAAACTAAAAATAACGTACACAGGGATCGTATAAAAATTTGCAAGTAAAAATTTTATAGTTTTATTTTTATTGTTGTGGTGTGCAGAGTGACATACCAAAAGTTGCAAAAAATCAGTCCACCGGAAACCCCTAAATTAAGGAAAAAATGGTGGCTTATCCCAATATTGGACAAATTTTGCAAAAAAAAGATAGCACATGTTTTTTGCACATTTTTCGAGATATTGACTTGGAACCACGACCGATATTTTTTTGGATGGTCCGTACTTAATTTCAATAGGGGACGCTTTTAGGGCCGCCATCTTGGATCAGCCATATTGGATATAAATATTTTTAAATGTAATTATAGTGTGACACATCATTATGAACTAGATTTCCACGCTGATTTCAATGCTGAAACCAGTTTTTAAATGGCGTTTTACGATTTTAAGATATATAAAAACGAAAACTCTCCCCCATACATTTCTTATGGACGTTTCGTACTTTGACAATTTAAAAACACATTGAAAACTACCACAGCCTAAGATTGTACCATCAGGTTCAAGTATGGCGTGGAAATAGTTCACCAGCAGATCCAACAGATTGGGAGTGGTGTTGACTGATGGTACCTATGACTAACTTACTTAAATAACTGTACTTATAAATAACTGTAACTGTGTAACTTGGAAATTATATTTAGATAAACATAGGATATGGCCTTTAAAAAATTTCATCAAACGTTTTATGGTTTTATTTTGTAGTGTTGTGCAGAGTGAAAAGGGGAAAAACTCGCCATAGCTATTCGTTCAAGTATTGACTTTTATTTTAGCTATGGATTCCTTATTGGGAGTTATTTAGAATTGGGGATAAATGTCTTTAACTAAAGACAAATTTCAAAATAACAATAATTCATTCAATAGTTCATTGAAGGTAGGCCTACATGATTCGTTTTAAATTTGTCATGTCTCATTTAATAATCAATAAAATTAAAGCCAAACATTTACTGAGTATACTTTGATACCAGAACGAACTTGTTAACAACATATTAACAACCCGAGATATAAATCTTTTAACAGAAACTGATAAAAAAAAGTTAAATTTAATTTTGTGTTGGGGTTTGTGCCTCGTCTACAACTAGTCTGTTTTAACTATAAATAAAACAAAATGAAAGCTAACTAAAATGACAGCTCTTTTATCACTGAATATGTTAAGGCTAGAACGAACTGCAAGCATTAATAATACCTGGAGAAGAATAATCCAAACACATTTTCAAAGTACGATACGTCCATAAGTGATGTATAGGGGAGAGTTTTCGTTTTAATATATCTTAAGCAACGAAAAAACCTATTTAAAAACGGATTTCAGCATTGAAATCAGCGTGGAAATATAGTTCATAATGTTGTGTCACAACACTATAATTACATTTAAAAATATTTATGTCCAATATGGCAGATCCAATATGGCTGATCCAAGATGGTGGCCCAAAAAGCGTCCCCTATTGAAATTAAGTACGGACCATCCAAAAAAATTTCGGTCGTGGTTCCAAGTCAATATCTCGAAAAATGTGGTATCTTTTGTTGCAAAATTTGTCCAATATTGGGAAAAGCCGCCATTTTTTTCCTTAATTTAGGGGTTTCACCTGGACTGATTTGTTGCAACTTTTGGTATGTCACTCTGCACACCACAACAATAAAAATAAAACCATAAAATGTTTACTTGCAAATTTTTATACGATCCCTGTGTCTGTTATTTTTTTAGTTTGCTTATGGACAATTACATTAATTTATAACAAATATTTTTATTTGAAATATTTTATTATTTCTACGGGGTTTATTTTTTGTTGTAGGTACGTGTATTTGGTATCATTTTAAAGGTAATTTCAGGAGGAACATTAAATGTATTGACGACTTTTCACCAATATTGACTGGAAAGTCAGAATTTCAATAAAAAGCAAAAAACTACTGGATTTGGCCGCCATTTTGGAAAAATGGTGGTGTTCCACCAAAGATATTTTTGGAGACTTTTGATATGTTATTCACAATACTTTTCACTATCGAACAACAATGGTTTCATCTGTGTTCTAATTATTTCTAGGTCAAACCATATATTCAGGGGCCTAAATACTTAGAATTTATTTCATAGCATCCACAATAAATCAAATCAAATCAAAGCTTTATTTTCCAATAGACATTACAAATGCATGTGGAATGGTCAATGAAGGTATTATGTAGGTAAACATTTGTCAAGGTAGAGTACAATAGATGTAGAGTACAAGGTCAAATCAAAATATACAAAGATAACATAAAATACATGCAGATGAGGATAACTATAATAGAAAAAAAAGTACAATCATTACTCAATATTTAATGGTTTAGGAAATTCTAAAAAATCATTAAGTTTGTAGAACGGATTCTTTACTAGCCACATATGAATTTTAGCTTTAAAAACTTTGTAAGGAAGTGATAGCAATTTGTTGGGCAATTTATTTAGACATTTTAGGCCCAGAATTTTATGACTTTTCTTTGTTTTGCTCAGTCTAACATGGGGTATATCAAATTGATGTCTGTTTCTAGTTTGAAAATCATGAAAATCACTCCTTATGGCATGTGAGTCCATTTCCTTAAAACTAGTTAACATGATATTAAATATATATAAATTAATAACGGTTAAAATATTAAATTCAATAAAAATGGGGCGACAATGTTCCTCAGGATCAACCCTAGCCATTATGCGCAGGACCTTTTTTTGTAATATTAAGACATTGGAGACATGAGAACTATTACCCCAAAAAATGATACCATAGTTCAAGGCAGACTGAAATAAAGCAAAGTAAACTGATCTTAAATAACTAATAGGAACTAAATCATTAAGCTTACGAAAAAGGCAGATCATTCTACTTAACCTAGTACAGAGTTGCGTTATATGATCAGACCAAGTCAGTTGTTAATTGTAATACAATAACTGTAATTAAAGTAGACGAATTACAGGAATTATTATCGATTCTAGAAGAGAGTGAAATAATAATTGTAACTTTGACATGTTAACGTTATGTTAATGCATAGACTAACCAACACAAGTAGACTTCTCATCCCATTGTAAATTTTGCAGCTCGTTTTTCATGTCTAGTTCATGTACGCCACACTGGGCGCTAGTGTCGACGAAATTTTGTTTCTATTATTTTAGGGTTAATTTCTTGATTTGTGCTTTACTGTTTGGTTAAATAACTAGGGGACAATTTATTTTTCCTACAGTTACCTAACAATGTACATGTTCTCTCACTGATTTGAGAAAGCAAAGTGGCCAATTCGCTCATCAGTGAGACAATGTTAACATTGTCTCACTCTAATTACTTTGTCTCACTCCAGATTTGCAACGTGAAGGCACGAAATAGTGAGCGCGTAACATGCAGGCAACGTCGTATGCGCGCGAAATACGTTGGCAGCACTGGCTGTAAATCAGCTGGTCAGCTGTTGTACTGTTTTATTTGTCACTTACACATTAAATGTTATATTAAAAGTTCACTTCTGTGTAAAAATAGGTAATGTTTCTTCACAAATTTATTTGTTTTATGATAACTGTAGGAAAAGTATAATGTGCAACTCGAGTTCAAAGTACAATTGCCTCACTCGAGAAACCATTCCTCACTCGCCTACGGCTCGTGAGTAAGGATTTCTCTCGAGTGAGTCAATTGCTCACTTTTCTCACTAGTTGCACAAATAACTATTTTATGATTAGATCGTATTATTTGGTTAAACGAGGTTTTAAATGACTGTATTAACGGGAAACAAATTGTAAACAAAACACGACCTCTACATAAACCGTACAGAACTAACAATAAAATTGTCTTAAGCTGTTCCATTAGGATGAGAAATCTAAAGGGAGTATGTTTTATCTATGGTTAATGTTTGGGAATGATTTACTAACAGATATTGCCCATCAGTGTAAGGTGACAATTTTAGATATATTATTTTATGGAATTTACAGTCACGTAAAATAGGCCCTACAGTTTAACCATTGACTAAGTGTAGGTACTGTGAGTCACAGTACTTAGTCAATGGTTAAACTGTAGGGCCTATTTTACGTGACTGTAAATTCCATGTGAGTACATTATAATCAATGGTTTAGGTTTACAGAAAAAAGTAGAGCTTTTTTCTCATTTTCCCCTTTAGTACATTTTAATGAACATAGAGGATACGCGTCCGGTAACCGGGCGTGGATAAGGCGTACGGCAATGACGTCATGGGGTTGCGGGAGCCTGGAACGCCTT